TAGAGAACTTTTCTAAGACAATTCAAATTTTTAAATGCCTATGATGGATTGGTAAATAAATCAAAATATTATGAATAATCATCTTATTGTAAATGAAAACATCAAATCACAAAAAGTTGATGTTCCCAAATAAGATGATATGCTTTTTGAAACTTATTATATAGATCTTAATCAAAATATATAAATATCTAGAATACCAAAAAATTTTAATGAAAATAGTTAGCAGCTAAAGTAATTATAAGGGATGATGTTGAAGAAAAGCCCTTATAGTTTGATAGGATTTTAAAAAAAATATTGTATTATAGAAAGTCGGATACTTTCTTATTACAATTTTGAGGAAAAGGATCGTTTAGAAGGCTAATTAAATTTTGATTTATAAGACTATCAATATTTTGACATAAAAAATGCATATAATTAAGTAATAGAATTTAAGTAAATGCATTGTTTTTTTTTTAGATTAATTCCAAATGGATGCGATAAATAATTTATATTTTGAAGCGAGAAAGTAATTTAAACATAAGAATGGGCATAAGTAATTTAAAATCATTTAGAGTAATCAAATGGGAAAAAACAAAAACTAACATATTTGAGTAAAATACCAAATTTTTGGAAGAACTATCAAATTTCTCATCTTAAGGTTTAAGAGTAATTTGATAGTGGAGATATAGTCTTATTTAAATCAAAACATAAATTAGCTGTCGCTTATAGAAAACTTGTGTGTTCTGAATTTGATCATGTTGCAATTTGTTATAAATAGAATGAAGAACTTTAAGTTTATGAAGTAGTTTAAAAAGGAGTTTAAATGTTTTAATGGGGTAAGAAAAATTGGTAATTTATGAAATAGATTAATTAAAGCTATAAGAATGGTATAAACATTTTGAGAAAATTTGTATAAGAAAACTAAACTATAATAAAAAAAATGATTATAGAGTGCGCTTTTCGAATTTTTTAGAGGAAAACTTGGGCAATGAATATAACTTGAGTGTTGGGAAAATTTTTACATTTACATCTAAGATAAAAAAACCAAATAATGGAGAAAAAGTAGAATAAAAAAGATCTTTCTTTTGTTCTGAATTAGTCGCTAAAGCATATAAAGTAATTGGTCTACTTGATTAAGGAAAATCTTGTACACAATATTATCCAAAAGATTTCTCTTAAGAAAAAGAGTTAGAATTATTATAAGGAGCAACGTTGAGTCCAGAATATCTGGTTGTTTTTGAAGAATGATTTATAATTCATTAATTATTTAATGTAAACTTCAATTGATCTACCTTCTCCATTAGGGATTGTTCAAACTTCTTCTATAACTAGTACAGGCAAAATATTAAGTCCTGATTATGAAAACAATCTAAAGAATGCAGCAAAAAGGAGTGAAGAGGACAAATTATTTAGAAAGCAAAATTAGATGAATGATTAAGAGGAATTTGAAGCTATAGAGGTTTAAAACGGAGAATAAATTTCTCTAATTTATTATTATAAGGCTTTGAAAATGGATGAAGTAATATAGCAGAATGAAAATGAAATTATCAATATTGTTCAGAATAGACCTAAATTAGGAATGATTGAAGGTAGTTTAATGAAAAAAAGTCCTCATTGGTTTTAAGGCTATTCACAGAGAAACTGTATATTAAGAAATAGAGTTTTTAGATATTATAATGTGGAAAATAAGAAACTGTAAGGAGTTTTAAATTTTGATGTTTAGTCATTTCAATTATAAGAGTTATAGGATAAAAATGGAAATACAATTGAATTTATGTAATAATTTTTCTATTCTTCTAGTTTAAAACCATTAGGATAAACTTAAAAGGTTTTTCAGTTTAAAGGAGGAACTGTTGATCAGACGAAAACATGGGTTTAATTGATAAAATAACATTTATAAGATTCTATAGGAGCATTGAAGGTTTTGAAATCATTAAGTTAATATGAACGTTTTTGGAGAGTATTTAAATTTTTATTTATGTTTATTTTAGTTTGAACGCATTTCCACATTATAGATTATGGAAGACGCTGAAGATGGAGACATTTTATTATTTTAAGGGAAAGATATAAATTGTCATATCTAAAGAACTTTAACACAGTCTAATTTTGATCATATTGGAATTTTGATACGTTTAGATGAAAATTAACTATATTTATTTGAAGCTTTACCTTTACATGGAGTTGGATTATGTCGTTGGAGTAAGTTTATTATATGTAAATGGAATTATCTTTATCATAAGTAATAATAAACTTTATTATTAAATAGAATTATATATAGAAAATTACAAGTCATTCGAGATGATAACTTTAAATCAAGAATGCATGAATTCGTTACTGATAATATTGGTAAATAATATTCCTTTAATCCCTCTAAATTATTCAAATTTAGATCTACAATGCTCCAAGATCCTTAATAATAATAAACAAGAACTTTTTTTTCTTCTGAACTAGTAGCCGCTTGTTATAAATATTTAAACCTTATATCAAAAGAAATTTCCTCTACATAGTATTGGCCAGGTTCATTTTCATCAGAAAATCAAAAATTGGCTCTTCAATATGGTAGCTTAAGCGAAGAATATCTTATCGATTTTGAAGGTGAATGATTTGTGTAATTAATATATAAAAACTCAAACTCATAATTCTACATTTGCTTATATCAATTTAAAATTTTTGTTTGCTATTTTTTTAGTTTTAAAATTTCCTTATATCAAGTTTTATTTTAATTCATTTGATTATCAAGATTTGGTTTTTTTTTCAGCAATTTTAATAAGATTATTAGCAATCAACTCAGATAAATCTTGTTTAAATCGACTGTAGTTTTAGTAAAATACCTATTTATAATTATTTCCATACTTATAATTCTATGTTCTCTCAAGATATTAATATTTTAAGTCTTTATTCTTCCTCAAAATAAATTTATGGAATTGAATCAATCTTTGATTAAAATTTATTTTTAGATTTCTTCTACTTTAATTCTATTTCCATCATTAGTGTCAATTTAGATATTATTTTATTAGCATCTTTAAGACTCATAATTTTTGAACATGTAGCTATGATAACATCTGTTAATTAAATTCCAAATATTATGGTTCAATAATATTCAACATAAAAAGATAAATTTAATTTTTAAACATAATCTCTTGTTAAATCAATATGTTATTTTCTAATCTAAACCAACAGTTTCATATTAAGCCCTATATAATATTTTATTTTATATAGATAAAGTATAATATCTACTGCTATTAATAGTAATCCTTCTTTTATACTAATATTAAATCATTTTATTAAGTCAATTTTGAGGTGCAATACTTCATCGAATCTATTGATTATTAAGGTTGTAACTAAATATAGAAGGCCTAATTTTGTATTTTAATAAAATTTGATTACATGATCTATTGTTAATTTATCATTTAATTTATATGGATTTACAATGCAATATATATTTTGATTCTTTGGCTATAAAAATTAAACTCAATTACGAAATGCACAGAGATAATAGCCTAAATGCATATATCCTGATGATTATATTTCTGAAAAAAACATAATTAAAAATATTTAACATCATATTTTAATTAAAAAAAAGAAATTCATAATTTTAATTCTTTTTTTTGATTTTTTATCAAATCAAAAACTTATTGTGAATTAGAATATATATCTGGACATATCTTTTTTGGATATTTCATCAAAGTTTCATTATATTATACTTTTGCATATTTTAATACACATTTCTAAAATAATAAAAATGATAAACTTATTTTTTATTGAAATTCCAAGGTCGATTGTTGAATGTCAAAAAGAATTCATGAAGGTATTTTTTATTTTTAAGATTGATAAAGGCAAAACCTCCTTCTAAATCACAAGGTATATTAAGATAATCGTATTTTGAATAAAATTTAAAATTTAGCTCATTTTATAGTCTTTGAACAGAATAATTATTAGGAATGTTTTTAATCATTATAGTGGTTCTTTTATCTTAAGCAATCTAATTGTTAATTTGATATTACAGTTTGTAATGAAATATTGAACTAATTTTGAGTGTTATCGTTCTCTTTGGTTTATTTATCAGGGAATTGATTAAAAATGGTAGAAACGGCTTCGAATTACTCAATGGAGGAAGAATCTGTTTCTGTAGAAAAGAGTAGTTTAGATTCTGTAGAAATAGAATTTACAAAATAAAGTACTATAACCAAAAAGGAAAAGATCATTATTAGATGAAGCAGTAGAGTCTTAAGTTTCAATCCAATTCTAACATTTAGTGAACTTTTCGATTTCTAAAAATAGGGAGGTTTACATCTTTAAATTTTAATATATATATAAATTTATTATTAATCAAACCTTTTAATATTCTAGTTTAGATTCTAATTTTTTTGCTTCTTTAATTTTTCTTCCTGCTTTGAAATAATCTTCTTCAATAACATAATCTCTATCAGCTCTAATAGCAAACATACCTTAAAATTAGAATAAAAATATACCTGCTTCAGTACAAACATTTCTTAGATCAGCTCCATTAAATTCTTCACATAATTTAGCCAGTTATTCAAAATCTACTTCTCCTTTAGTTGTAATATTTCTGGAATGAATTTTCAAGATATCATATCTAGCTTATTCATTAGGTAATGGTATTTCAACCTCTATAATAATAATAATAATAGAATGAATACTTCTATCTAATCTTCCAGGTCTTAATAGTGCTGGATCTAAAATATCAGGTCTATTAGTTGCCATAACTACTTTAACTTTTCCTAAATCATCAAAACCATCTAATTAATTTAATAATTCCATAAGTGTTCTTTATATTTCTCTATCTGCAGATGTTCCATCACTAAATCTTCTTCCTCCAATTGCATCAATTTCATCCATAAAAATAATACAAGGTTAATTCTCTTTAGCATATGTAAACATTTCTCTTATAACTCTTGCACTTTCTCCAATGTATTTATCTACAATACTTGAAGCTACTATTTTCAAAAACTTAGCTTAAACATTACAAGCTAAAGCTCTTTATTTATTATCATATATTACCTTGCAATTAAAGTCTTTCCTGTTCCTGGAGGACCATACATTAAACATCCTTTTGGAGGTTTAACACCTACTCTCTTAAATAACTCAGGATTTGTTATTGGTAATTCAATTGTCTTTATATTATATTTATTCATACTTCTCTTAATACACGAAGTTGATCATTTAAACCTCCTATCTCATCAAATAAAACTTTTCCTGGATCTTCATGAGCCATATGGAACACTTAAGGATCTACCTCTCTTGGTAATATTCTAACTATTGTATATGTTTCTTAATCAAGTGCTATTCTTGTTCCTACTACTAATTTCTCTCTATCAAGCTTTGGTTTAGCACCTACTACATATCTAGGACCACTATTTAATTTTGAAATATCTTCATTAATTTAATCTTATTACATTTCTCATCATTTATTTTCATTAGTATCTCTCCTACTGCCTATCCTCTTATATTCAAACTCTTTATATTTTCTTCAAACTTTACTAAATCACCCTTTTTTTATTAAGTTTATACTCTCACTAATCATTAATATCTTTATTTACAGTCTTTCAAATGATCTTCTTTCTCTTCAGCTTCCTTTAATAATTTTATGTATTTCGCTTCTAATGCACTACGTTAATTTTGATCAGCCATCTTTTGATATTTTAAATTATTTATATTTATATTAGATTAGGATTATTTATCAATTAATTTGATTCCAAATTCACAACCAATTCAAATCATTTTACACATCTTTATATTCATCCACATATAATACATAAATTATATTAATTAATAATCAATTTATTGTCTTACAATTCATTCCTAATTATCTTTTGTATTCTTAATGTAATTTTTTATTTAAACTATCATTTTAAGAATGTTTTAATTGATATTATTGTAGAAGTTTCCTTATTTGTATTTGATTTTACAAATACTCAGTATTTTATTTAGACTACCCATTTAAATCAACACTGAAATCTTTACTTAACTGTTTATTTATGATAAAAATTTACTGAATATTAATCTATTTCAAACTATTCTGCACATGAAAAAGGTCTTGGAATTTGAATAAAACCTGGATGTTATTTACGGTAACTATGAACAAAATTATTAGATCTATTAACATCAGTATGTTAAGATAAAGAAGTTAGCTTATATGGTTTATTTGAATTTATAATAGAATTTTCAGATTAGCCCTTTATTTATTATTATCTTTTGAATTCTTGATCTTCTTAATTATTATGAAATATTATACTTATCAAATTTAAACCATTTTATGATGTCTAATTTAAATAATTTTTGATGGGAATTTATGAAGTTTCATATTGGGATGAATTATTTTTTCTTTTTTTATCCAAATATTCATTTGTTTCAGTTTGTACTCTGCAAGCTAAATTGCTTGTTTTAATAGAATTATTATTATAAATGTTTATAGAAAATAACCTTTTTTTAGAATCATTTCGAATTTACTCATCCTCTGATTCTGTAAGCAATCGATTTCCCTAAAAATTATTATATAATCTACATATTCTTAATCTGTATATCTTGATCTATCTTTTTAGAAATTTAATTAAATAGACTATTGTTTAGGAAACTCATTTTCAATATTGTCTTTTCTTTAAGCGGATTTATTACATTAAAAACCTTATTAGTTAATTTAAGAATTTAAATCTACTATTGAATTAAGTTATATATTTTATGTAGTTTTTCCTTATGTTTTTAACTTTTCATTTAATATGTTATTTTTTTCATTTAGAATCTTAATATCATATTTAATACTTAAAATTCATTTTTAATTGTTTATAACTATTCCTGTAAATCTTTTTTTATTTTGTTTGCATCTTCCAATTTAGATTAAGTATTCTCAGCAAATAACTTTATTTGTTATTCAATCTTTTTAGTTAATGTATTTTTTACTCTTATATGTTAACGAATCTCTGCTTCCAATTTAATTAATTATACTTCATAGTCATTTTAAGTTTTCGAGTTTTAATCTTCTATCTACTATTCTAAATTAAACTAATCTCATTCTAAGAATACTTTATTTTGTAAAACAATTGTAAATATACATCCAATATAACGAATTAAACTACTAGGATCTGTATATAGATCTTATTATTTATCAAGAGGAACTAGTTTTCTTATTTAACATAATAGTAACTATGAATTATTAATTATTTAAACTTGATCTTCTTTTTTTAGTAAAGTGCTTTTTATTTATTCATAAAGTTCAACAACAGATTTTTAAAGTTTTAGATCAAATTTCTTTTCTTTATGTTATGAACTATGTCTATAATTGGATTCTAAAGATGTATTGATATGATCTTGATAATGTTATTGATATTGTAATTTGTTTAACAAAGGATTTGATTTTTGTGACATTATTTTAAATAAATAACTGATTAAAAAAAGGGTTTTAAAATAAATTTTAGTTTTATATATATTTATATTCTTGTATGTATAATAAGCAAGAAGTATGAAAATAGTCATTCAAAACATGCAGCTTTGAGTCATATCAACTGGTGAATGATTTTAAAGATCAAATTTAAGATCAGGGATAAATTCACTTTCAATTGTTGATAAGTCATCCAAACAAAAGTTTTAGAATTTTTTAGAATGTATTTCAAGTATATGCTACATATATGTAACTTTCATACCACTTAAAAAGTTGAATTGCTTAATTTTTATTCTTGAGGACAGAATATGGACGTTCCTAATTTAATTTAATTATTTACTCAATTCCATTAAACCATAACAAGTATTTTACTATTTCTTTATTTATTTCTATTGATCATGCATTGTTTTCATTTAATATAAATTTCGTTGAGATTGATTTCTTATAACATTTGGTCTTAAATCTGTTATTTTTTATTTATCTTTCTTTTTTTCTTCAGGCTTGATTGTTTAATAAAACAAGTAAAAACATCCCAACATATAAGTTTTTAGTAAAACTGATTTCTTTGGGAATACTCTCCCTAAATCCTCTAATACGCATGACATTTTGTAATATTTATTATTAATTCCTATAATCTTAACTTTATAAAAGATATAAAATCATCATTATAATAGTAATTAGAAAAATGATGCGTACCTTTCATTCTTTTAAAAAAAACTATTTGATAAAAAATATATATGTTTAAAAAATTATTTATAAAGATGTTAAAATCTTTGAAAAGTATCAAATTTATGAATTTTAAATTGAATATCCAAGAGTGACTGACAGAAATAAATATTTAATTTATATCTGCTAATAAACCCCGATTTTATTTAGCCATCTACATTATGTTGATAAATTAATGTATCAACATATATATTAAGATGGCTTTTATAATTGAACTTATGATTGATATAACAATGAATAAATTTCACAAAAGCAATCGGTATATGTGAAAGTGTATGGTTAGAGTTGTATTTAAAATACTCAAGAAAGTGAGTAGTTAGTAAATCACACTCTAAATAGTTAAATTTAAGGCATATGTAATGTCTGAAAGCATTTAATCATCTACATAGTCTTGATGCCTGAAATCTAAAATTTAATTAATGAATTTGAAAATATTGAATTTTATATTTGAATTATAATTCTGATGTTTGGGAAAATTTTGAGCGCTCATTTATGAATAATTCTTTATGATAAATCATAATTACTTAATATTCCTTGTCAATAAAAATGATTTTAGGATAATCAAATTTTAATTTTATTGAATATAATTTGATATATAGTATATTTTTGGAGTTGAATCTGAAGATTTGTATTCAATAATATTTTAGATTATGAATCTAGATGATTTAGGTTTGGCAGACAATATTATCTTTAGCAGAATTAGAAATAATAATTATTTTGATTAATTTATTTGGATATTTTATAATAGGATTGTTGATATTGATATTGATTAAATTGAATTGGAACATACTTAAAGTATTTTTTATAGTACTTTAAATTTAAGTTTAGTATTTTTATATGTATTAAATAGAATTAATTAGACATATATTTGATATAAAAGATGATTAACTTATAGATGAACTTGAATGTTGTGTTAAATTTTATTTAAAGAATATAAATGGTTTAAAATTAACCATTTCTTTAATTTTTGGAATAGATGATATATGAATTAATTATTCATTTAAGTTTTTTAATTAATATTAAATAAAGTCATTTTTTGGTAAATGTTTGAAAGAAAAGAATTAAAGGCATTTGTCAAAAAAAATGTTTAACAAAATCAAAAAGATTAAGAATTGATATTTAGTATAAAAAGAAAATTAGGAGATTAATCATTTGACAACATTTGTATAATTTAAAAGTAAAATTAAAGATTTATCAAACGATGAAGAAATCATTTAATTTATTAATTCTAGGAAAAAACAAAAATTAAATATTGATGATGTGATTAATTAAACAGAAAAGTTATCAATTAATGATGAAACACAAAAGATGTAAATTTTAATTTCAATTATAAAAGTTTAGTTTTAGAGAAACTAAAATTTGATTCTGTTACTTAATATAGTGAGAATACATAATAAAATAGTATTTTGAAGATTAGAAGAGAATAATTTGTAGATAAATATAGAAAAGATATAAGAGAGAAAATATTATAAGAAAATAGAAATAAAGTGATTATTATCTGATTAAATCTAGTTGATTATTCAATTAGAATAAGATAAAAATAAATTAAAATGTTATGATGATAAAAAAGATGAAGAATTAGAATAAGATTATTATGTAATAAAATAAGTGAACAAGAGTCAAATGAATTAAGAAAAAAAGAGTACAGTAATGAATATAGATGCTAAACAAATAGAAAAATATTTTGATAATTATTATATTGATAGTGATCACAATTAAAGTATTGATAGTGAAGACTCATAACGTACTGATTAAGATGCTTATGAATATCCAGAAAATGAAAGTTGTAGTAATGATAATGTAGCAGTTGAAGAAGAAGTTGAAGATTATGATGAAAATGAAAGTGATGATGATTGTGTTGATTATAAAAAATGTTAGAGAAAAGATATATAAGAAAAAGATGAATAAATAGAAATCGATGATTCATCATCACCATAAGAAATCTAAATTAATTAAGTTTAATCATTTATGAGCTTTATTAAATAACATGAATTGCTAAAATAAGAAAAACAATCTTGGAAAACATTTAACTATGAAAAAGATTTTTGATTTATATTAAATTAATATGAGTATTCTAAGAATCTTAATCAAATTGCAAATTAAACTTTTTTTGAGTTTTTTGGTGCCTATGTTTATTATGTTTAGACAATTTAATTCATTTCTGCTGAAAACTTTTAAAATAGATTTCCCTATATTCCATGTTAAGATGGTAATGCTTAAAATGTAACAAAATTTTGAAATTATTGTTCTGATGAAAAACTTTGAAATGAATATTATTATATTGTAGAAAGTTATGATGTTTTTTGTGGTTCCTTCATAACCCCAAATTAATGTTATTTTCGCTTTGGATATTCTTCATCTGAATCTGATTAACTTAACATTTATGGTAATTATTCTCCTTATTTCAAAGATCCTCTTTTTGATGTCTCATGATGTGAGGTTTCATCATCATATTAAAATGTTTCAACTCTTTCTATTTTCTAACAACACTACCCACTTCCCATTAATTTTATTTTAATTAATACTGTATTAAATAGTAAATTGATCTTCTCTATAAAATGATATTGAAGATAATTAATCATTATTTATAAATTATTGCTACATTATTATTATAGAATTTAGATAAAAGTAAACATAAATTTATATATTATAACTTAACATTTAAATTGTCTCAATATTTATAAAATGTCTTTTGCACTTCAACATATCAAAAATTAAGATTTACAATTATTTATTTTAATTAAGTAAAAAACACAAAAATCAAATATGGGATAATACGCTACCATCTAATATCTAACTATATAATTGTTAACTCAATTATTCATTCTTTTCAACTACCTCTTAATACTTTTGGTATAACTTAATGTTATTATCAATATCTTACTTATACATATTCTTATTGACTTTTCTTTGGTAATTTCAAAGTCTTTTTATTATTACTTGATATAATCTTCTCTATTTACAATCTTAAACTATCAACTTCTTAAGCAGATGATCTAACTAAATCTTTTAACTTAAAATTCTCAGACTCTAAATAAGTTATAGTCCCTGTTAAATGTTTAATTTTTTATTCATATAATGATTTAAATTATTAAATTTTTGATTAAATTAGATCTATGTCTACTTAATTATTATTTTTTATTGTTAAATCTAAATTATTTTTTTTCTCTTCCATTTCTTGTATCTATTAATTTTTCTTTTAAATTATCTTTTTATATTCCAACTACATTCTATCAAAACTTTCATTTTATGTCTTAATTTGATCCTAATAATTTTTAATCTCCTCTTAAAATGTATTATTCTTAAATAGTAAATCTTAATTATCAATTTATAACATTTATAATTAAGTTTTATTTTATCTCACTTATTCTTCAGCCTTAATCATTTATTAATAATATTCATTTTATGATTAAGTCTCAATCAATTGTTTTTCTATATTTTAGAGATGTAAACGTAATTAACTAATTTCATTGTTTTTTCCCTCACTATCATAATTCTTTGAATTTTCAATCTCTTATCTTAAATTCTCATTTTCCTATACTAATAATGGTACCATTTAACTGTATTAATGAAGCATTTCAGTTAAATGTTCAATCTATTTGAAATAAGATTATGGATATTGATTTGGAAATAATTGACTTAATTTCTCTAATTCCCTATCCTTAGCTCTACATGTAATTTATAAGAATTCTATAAATTTTCCCTATTAACTCTAATTCAATTTAATTGTGTAATCTAATTACTACATTAAATCCATTGCTTTATAAGTATCATTCACAAATCCCTTATTCAGGGCCAACCATACTTAATCGTAATCAATTTATTCTATCTTTGCCTATGGAATAAAGGCTTCAATTTATCTATCTGTTGGACATATTTCATCTAGTGATTGATATAATTCAATTATTTTTGAACCATATATTTTAATTTGTAGAATCATCTTTTCGAAAAGTTCTATTTCAGATTCAACATTGTCTTAAGGAAGTACTACAAGATTTGAATTTACTTATTTGACGTAATTCTAAATTTAATAAAAGTCTTCATCAAATTCAAGGTACATGTTTACAAATTTAAATTTATTATTGTTAATATTAAAATTCATCATTTTCTTTTTTTTTATTACTCAAATTTTTCTAATAACTATTACTATATTAACATCTCCTCTTCTGTCATAAAATCAAATTCATTAGGTAATTCTACATTTGGCAATCGAGTTGCTTATTATTAATTCTATTTTTAAGAATTTATCATTTCTTTTTGTTATTTTGCTTTTTCCTCCATCATTTTATAAAGTTCTTTTTATTCTTACATTTATTCTTAAGTCATTTGCAAATCTTCAGCTAAAAATTATTCAGATAAGTTTTTGGCAATTACACTATCGTTAAAATTAGGATTATTCTCTGGCTTATGATTATTAGTTTGATTATCTCTATTATTATTTAATTTACTTTATTAATAATTTTGATAATCATATTATCTTTATTAATAGGAATTTTGTTTAATTTAGTCATTATTTTACTATCTTTATACTTATTAATAATCATCTTATTTTTTTATATGTTAATCATAAGATTTAGTTTACTTATCTAAATAAGAATTGTTTTAATTTTCCTAAAATTTTTATTGTTATTCTGATAATTTTTGTGATGGTTATTATTGTGAATAAGTTGGTTACTAATGTGCTTTTGGATTTCTAACATATTAGAATTGAGTATTTTCTCCACTTTTTTAAGAAGACAACTTTCTATTGTCTTATTATATACTCTAATTATTTGATAGATTGGAAACATAAGGTTATTTTTGAGATTCTTAAGTAGTGTATGTTGATTTATAATTTCTTTAACTTATTTAAGTTCTTTGCTGTTGATTTACTTCTTATTCATCAGGATATTTTTTTAATCTATCATCTTAATTTTAAAAATAATTATTAGTTGTTTATTCATAAATTCTTTTTTCATTGTAATATTTTTCTTGATTGTTTAAAGGTCTTTCATATTTGTCTTAACTAATTCTTTCTTATGTTTAATATTTAGGAGGATTTTTAATTTCATTATTATAGTATTAATTGTATTAATTTTTTTGTGATATTTATTAATCTCGAGTAGGATAAGGTAATGGTTTGATGTCGTTATTTTAATTGGGAATTGGTTTAACTCTTGGATCAAATGGGTTTTAAGTTTAAGGAATAGTAAATCTTGAATATTATTTTTAATTATTTGACTATGTTAATTTATTATCTTGATTGATAATGTTATTATTTTATTAATATTATTTTTCATCTTGATTTAATTATTATTGAATTTATCTCTATTTATAATCATAAACATCTTAAGTGGATCTTAATCCTTAATTTAATTTAGGTTGTTGACTATATTTCGGATCTTCAAATTATTTTTCTTAATCTTTACTATTTATTGATTCTGAAGTGTATTTTTACATTTAATTATTGACATAATTCTTATTTGCTTTATGTAAACCAGTTTAGAATTCTTACTTCTAATCAAAATTGTTATCTTACAATTTAGGTTAAAAGTCATAAGGATTTTCAATTTTTCCATATCCAGGCTTAAATTCAGCAGGTTATGATGTTTAAATTTTATTATTGGCTTATTTCTATTATTCTTATTTATTTTTAATAACCTCATCATAAGTTTATGGTTTAGAAGGTTTCTATACTTCTTATATTGATGGGAAATCATCAAGTTTCTCTCCTCTTCCTAATTTATCAAATTTTTTTTATTGACAAATTGATTAATGGATTAGATATTCACTCATTTTAATATATTGTTTGCATGAATCACAAACTTCAGTTCTACTTCCACATTAAATTTCATGTAATGAAAATGATTTGATTGGAATTTCTAATTTACAATATTAACATAAAATAGGTAATTCTTAACAATTATGTTTTTTTAGATCTAAAAGTTATATAACAATATATAAAACCTTAAAATTATTCTTTACAATGAGGACATTATTATAATTAATGAAATTCCTCTTCATGTGATTCTGGATCGTTTTAATCATACATATAACCACATCTATCACATTTGATACAATTTCTTTCGCAATACATTTCATGTAACATCAATTTTTCTTCATCAATCTTTTTCCTACAGAATTGACAATTAATCATAATATAATAGATTTTAAATATTTAATATATATAGATAAAATTTATCATCTAATTTGATATCTATCTCCTAAAAATTATTTTAAACTTCATAAATTTATTCTAAATATCATTTAAGATATTAAAAACTATATATAAACCTTAGATTCTTAATTATAGATCTCTTGAGTACATCCTTATTTTCATAATTAATATTATTAATTATTATATTTTATTTCTAATAAATTCAACATATTGATATAATTATTTTTCTAAACATTCTTCATTTAATGCAGAATAACTTATTCTATTTTTAATAGAGTATATTTATTTTATTGATTAAATCATTTAACAATTTTTACCAAGTTAATGATACTAATTTTTTTCAGATTTTAATTTTTATTTCAGTTAAATTATTAGTCATATAGGAAGGTGATTTAATTACTAAACGATGGATATATAGTATTTAATAAATATTATGTCGATTTAAATAAAGAAAGAATAAATAAAAAATCAACGCTTTTGGATGTATAATATATAAATGAGAATTTGAATTAATTAGTATTATTATAAAAATGATTAATATTTCTAAAATCCATAAATAAATAAATAAAAATATGTTAAATCTTGAAAATATAGATTTAGTGAATAGCACTTCAGATTAAATAAAAGTATTGTGTTATTCGTTCTTTATTTGGACATCAATATTTGCAATAGTAAATTAGAAAGTCCATTTAAAGAATCATCCAAAGAAAGTTTAAGATGATGTCAAAAATAGAATAGTGTCAATCATTCATGGATGTTTAACATTTTGGGCTGCTGCATATATTATATTGGGTAAATGAGATTAGCATTTAGAGTTGAATAACCAAGTTTTGGTGCACCTAATTCTTAGATGATGCAATTTACTATGATAATTAGTACGTCATACTTTATTTATGATTTCCTTGCCTGTCTATATTATGACCTTGCTGATATGTCTTTAGTATCTCATCATTCTTTAGCCATCTGTGGATATGCTGTAGCTACTATTTCTAAATTTGGTGCTCCATCTTCTATTTGTAAATTCTTATTTAATAATAACAAGGGGGATTAATGTCAGCAGAAGTATCCAATTTCCCTATGCATATGAGAGTCATCTTTAGATAAGTTGGATTACGTCATACTAAACTTTATGAAGCATGTGAATGGACATACTTTGGTATTACGCTTTTTCTATTTTTAGCTTTATATATAATATTCAGAGGTTCATTAGTCCCTTATATGGTATGGAATACATGGCCATAAAGAGATGTTCCTTTATTAGTCAAAATTACAGCAACAGGATTATTCTTATAATCACTATACTTTATTTTTGAGTACATCCAAATATTTATATTATTTTTAGAATGAAAAAGATTCTTACTAGATAATATTTCTAGTTTCAAGAAAGAAAAAAGAAAAATATTCATCATTTTTGGTTTAGCGTTAATCCAAAAGTTTAAGAATTATCTTATATCAACAATTAAAAAAAAGATAAAGTTTTTTGAGTATTAATACCATATATAAATTTATTATTTCAATCAATTATCAAATAACTCTTTATCATTAATTGTTATTTTTTTTTAATAATTTCTTTTAACTATAACAATATACTTAAGTTTCTTATTTAAAAAATAAAAATGCTTATTAGAAATTATATTATTTAATAATATTTATGCTTAAATTAATAATACATACATATATGTTACTGTTATAATATCTAATTTGAATACTCAAAGATTTCTAAGTAACTACTTAAGAATCTGGTTAATTAACAAATTAACCCAGAACTTCTTAAGTAGTTATTAAGGACTGTTAAATATGATTTGAAAATCCATTTAATTTAACTCATAAAATTTTACTTATCTCTTCTTATCAATTCATAAAAATTAAAAAGTTCTCTATTATGAATAAATCATTAAATTTTCATATATTTAAAATTAATTTATCCAATTTATCTATATCTCTCTACAAGAAAATTTAGGGAATTTCTTAAAGATTATTGATAAAGTTATTATAATGATTTTCTACATTTCAGATTTGGAATTTAATAAGATAATCTTAACGTATTGAATGAAATGAATTTTACATATTTAATGATGATAAATAATTAAAATTTCATTATTATTAATCTATTATCCTTAATTTTAATATAACTATTAATTAATGAATTTTACTTGAAAATAGGGTTTGAGATAATAATAAATTTAGAATACGAAATAGAAATATTTTTAGATTTTATAAAAAAAATAATATTTTTAAACATGTTTATCTATTTTATAATTTACATAAATATAATATAGATAATCTATGGAGTACATAAAAATGATTGTGAATATGTTGAATTAAAATTACAGAAATTGTTAACCTAAATATTGAACTAATAAATCAAATTGTTTTATTTGTTATTAGAATGAATAGAAAGATAGTATAAAATAAGTTATAGGTGTAAAAATCACGATTTAAATAGTATAAAATAATTTGATTAACAATTTAAATTTAAAACAAAAAAAGCTTCTTCAATAGAAACAAGTGATTATTCCAAATATACCACCTGCAATACCAAATAATACAACAATAGTATTTAATATCTAATAAATTGGTTTAAGAGCATAGTGAAAAGTCATACCATAAGGAATGATATATCCTAAAGAAACACAGCAAATGCATCCAACAATGGATAAAACAATGGCAAAATTAGGATACAAGAATGCAGTAAGCTTAAATATCATTATAAAAAATACCATTTAGCAAAGGACATAAATAATTTTGAGAATGAATTTTTTAATTTTATCGGGACTTAGATTAACAAGTTAATAGACTGGCATATTAACCATTAATGTATTAATAATTAAAATGGAGACATAGGAAATCATTAAGATTGAAAGAGTGATTTCAATAGGATAATTTCCTTTAAACTCTTCTTGATAATTAGTAATAATTGATTAATCAGTATTTTATTGAAATAATAATGAACTTGATATACCAAAGAATAAATAGAGTATAGTTTCTAATATCATAGCAATTAATAGACATTTTTTAAATGAAATAGTGTTTTCCATTTCAACTCTTATCTCTGTTAAAACTCCATTGATATCATAAGCAAAAATCATAATACCAAATGCTATCATAATTTTTTCAGTATCAGGTTTAACTAGACCCCATTTGTTATATTGTACAACTGCCAAAGTTGAAAGATAAGCAAATGATATATAGACTAATATCAATGCATATTTTAATATAGGAGTAAATATCTATAAGTCTTTACCAAAGGAGAATCCAAAAATAATGATAAATAGTAACAAGAACATTGCTAATTTACACCATAAATTATCATCAAAATATTCTCCTATAGTTGTTTAAAATAATATGATGTAAGATAAACCACATCCGAAATTTAATAATATAGACATCACTTTTGCTAAAATATATATCCAACTCCTATTTCCATAAACAGACGAAAGATATTCAATAAGTGTTTATCTTTTATCTTCTCCTAAACAATTAACCATTGTACACCATGATTTATATTACGTAGCAAAAATTAATAATTGTAATAGTATACCAAACAATAATCCAGATTGAGAATAAGCATACGGTATAGCAAATACACCAGATCCTAATGTCACCTTTATTAACTTTGCAGTTGTCTAAAAATTAGTTGATCTTGCTATAGGTTGATCATCTGTAATCAAAAATGGTTTCATCAAATATTATTATTAATACTATTAGTATTTATTCCAAATATAAAACATATACAAAATAAATAAGACAATTTTCATAACATTAACCTACTTTATAAGTAGAAGCTCTGTTACAATTTATTTTTATATAAATAATCTTAAAGTATATGTGACTATTAAATATATTCTCATAAACTATCTTTTTTATTTGCCATCTAAACATTATAAAAGTAGCTTTCTTAACTTATACTTAATCTTCTTGTTCTTTCTTCTTAGATTATTCCTTCTCATATCCTTAATATTTATTATTTGTACTTATTACTCTTTTGTTATTTTTCTATTTCTTATTTCTAATCTTACAAAATTTTAACTTAAATCTGTCGAACCATTTAAGAATCCCTAAAAACTCAGAAATACTTTTCATTTTGATGTATATTTCAATCCAATTTAAGAAATATATAAATTTTAAAAGTCTTCTACTGAATAGTATATTTTAGATAATTATAATTCCCAATATTAGAGATGCGTTTATATTAAGTGGTTTTGAATATTTAAATAATATAATTATAATGAATTTCACTTTAGAGGGAAAACTCAAAATAAATTAATTTTTGCAAATACTCAAAATCTTCTCTTACCCTACTATTATATGTGATGATGAAAGTATTTAACTGATTTTAAATAAAAGAAATACAATTTTCAGAAATACCGGAGAATCATAAATTTAATGAATTCAATAAGTCAGACAAGCCTGCTAGCTTTGCTTAAATAAATAATGATTTCTTTGATGAATTTTAATCATAAATTAGAGAAAATCATTTAAAATTTGTAGAAACTAGTTGTCTAAACATAAAAATGTAATAAGATGTATGTTTATTAAATTCTTAATTAAACTATGTTTGCTGTTAAATTCCAATTGATATTGTTTATAAAGCATTAAAACCTTTAGCAAAATCACATATAAAGATTTTAAAATTTTCTTTCACTTATTTAATAATTGAAAAAAATTTTGATTTTAAATAAATATTGTTACATTTTATAGTAGGAGCGTATTCAGAAAAAGGTTTCTTTACTATCATGAAGCCAGTAGCTATGCAATAATAGAGGGAAATAGAGCTTCCAAATTTAACAAATAAATTAATTACTATCAATTATGAAAATTGCAAAACTATAATTTAACAAATGAAAAATTATCCAATTGGAATGATTTGTAATGTAGATGAATTATCATTTTCTCCATTATCTGTGGATTCAGAATAAATAGATATTTGGTCAGGAGCTTTACAATATTATAATTCTTCCTTCATAGAAGAAATATATGGTAATTTGATTATTTAATCCATTTATGCAAAAACTTATTATCCTATTTTTAGTTATAGTTAAAAAGTTAAATAGGATTGCACAATTTATATAACTCCTGCTGAAAATGATTCAAAAAATGCTCTCTTATACTTTGTTGCTAGTGAATAGAATGTGATTATTTGTAATAGATAATAAATAATAACAAAGGATGAATCAAAATAATAAGGCAAATTGTTTTCAAATATTAGTGAAGAATTAATTTAAGAATTAGAATAGATAGGTAGCTAATTTGAGAAAAAGTTTTCTTAAATCTAAATAACAACTAATTTAAAAGATAATTATAATAGTTGTTATGAGAATTAACCTTTGAAAATGGCATATTCAACAATAGAAGAAAACAATAGTAAAATGTATAGTACAATCAATTAGAAGGACCCACTATTGTTCATTCCACCAAAAGTTACAGGATCAATTAATGATGCAATTTTAGATTATATGACTAGAAATTCATGCAAATAGACTGCTAGTACTATATCAAGATATAAATCAAATTATTAAAATTGAATATTATTAGCTTATTTTTAATTAAAAATTATATATCATACATTTCTAATGAATTTAACAATTCTTATAACAATGAATAAAAAAGAACTTTATACTTTATTCTGGCGACTAGTTTTTGATATAATAAAAATTAATTCCATTATAATTTATAATTTAAATGATTATAATCATATAACAATAAATTTAATCCACACTAAGAATATTGAATATGAACTAAATTTTGATTGGAATACATTTTTAATCTTACTTAAAATCGATCTTAAATTTTAAGAATTCTTAAACTCTGGACAGTTTATAAAAATGATATTATATAAAAAACAGATATTTAGAAATAATATAATTTAATCAAAAAGTAACACAGATATTCCAACATCCAGTATTTGATTTATGATTATATTAAATTTGAAAATTAGGATTGCTAACATCAACGTTATATTTCTTCCAATTTTCGACAATAATAACATCATCTTTTTATTTGAAAGAAACAGTCAAGTTCTTTTTAGATTCATCATATAATTCTTTAGCTGTTAATTATCCTAAGCTTGCACAAGGTCCAAAAGTATGATTTTTCCTAGTTTGTCTTTGGCAACTTTGCTCTACAAGTATTTATGAATCCATTTTGTTTTTTTAATTATATATATATATATTTATTAATATGTAAAAAAAGATATAAAATATTCAGCTAAAATAATGAATTTAGAATAGAATTGGTCCAAATAGAATATATATGCATTCTGATATTTGCTTGGTATGTATCAATCATATTAATTTTTATTAGCTAATAAAACAAATGTATTGATTTCAATGATTTGATTTTTTCAGTTAGATTAACTATTAATTATTTTAAAATTTAATAATATAATGCTCTTTTTATAAACTAAGATCTTGAATTACTATAAAATACATCCTTATAATATTCTTAACTACAATTAAGTTTAAATACTTTTCCTTTTACTCCAATAAATTCAATAATTTTAATAAGTTATACATCCTGTGATCTTAAATTGATTTTTATTAATTTAATTATTAAGAAGAGAAGTGTAAAGTATTTATGAGACTTCTCTTAAAAAGTAGAAATTTTATTTAATAATTTAGTAATTTGTTAATTGTATTTAATTTAGAGTAAAGTTTCTTAATTAAGCTTAATAACCATAATTGCATCTAAAATAATTTATTATTTAACAAGTATTAAATTATCTTTGATTAAGAATATAGTTTATCAGATGTTCATTTTAACTTAATAAATATAGGATTACCCTTTAAAATCATTCAAAATTTTTAATAATCAATTTAATATATTTCCAATAGTAAACAATTCTTAGTTATTTAAATATCTCTAAATTAACCTGGAAATCAAATAAAACCTTGGTTTTTTTAAGAATTTAAAAAATTCTACAAAATACATTGATGTTTGAATAATACTTAACTTTTAGATTGTATTTTTTACTATTAGTAATACAATGATAGAATTCATAAAATATTATATAATCTCCTATTTTAATGATATATCTGTAATGAATAATCTAAAATTTCTTTTATGAATAATAATAATTCTTCATTCAAAATAATTTTGATCCATAGTATAATAAAAACTGAGAAAAAGCATCATTAAACTTATTCTAACTAACTTACTTCTATATGATTATTGAAATGTTTATACCAGAATAAAAAAAGTTGAGTTGATTAAGCAGTCATAAAATAAATAATAAATATAATAAAATTCATTATCCTGAAAAACTAAGTCTTTTAAAATTTTTTAAGATGACTTCAACTTCGATAATTACTTTTCCATTTGAAATACTATTTAAAATTTTTCTTCTTGCAAAATCTCCTTTATCTGTTGTTAATGGAGCTAATGTTGTTAATCTTGGTGGATTTTCCATGTAAAATGATAGTGCTTAAAATCTCCAATCTAATGATCTATCAAATTTAGAGAATTAATCTGTATTGGTAGCTAAATCTTCATTTGGTTTTCTTATTTCAAGATCTAAATTTTCTCCAGTTGGTGTCCATGTTTCACTAAATAATTATTACTTATATAATAATTACCATGTCATTTAATGATATCCAGAACTTCTCGGGAATATTGTTGTACCATAACTACATGCATCTATTTTATTTGATGAATCTAATCTCCAAACTTTTAATAAAGCTTTAGGCCATCCTATTATATTTGATACTGAAAAATGTAAATCAAATGGATGACACCATGAAAATAGTTATCCAGGCTATAAATTATTATTTAATATTTTTTTATACATTTGCATAACTCGTTTAAGTTTAAATACCTTTATTATTTCCTGGCTATAATAAATCCCATCCATCTCCACAATCTATTGCTAATTCACAAAATAATCCATCATCTGTTTGAAAATCTAATCCACCCACAATCTATCCTATAAAGTGTACTTCTGCTTTTAAATCAGCCTTTGTTTATTTTATCTCTTAATAATCTAACTAATTCCCTGTTTACTGATATGGCACACTCATTTCAAATTTTATAGTAAATTATATATATATTATATATATTTACATCATTTCTAAAATTTTATTCTTCTAAATTTTTATATAGCTATGTAAATATATTTATATATATATATATATGTACTTCTATCCTCTACATTATAATTCTTATTCATACTTAATTCTATATATATAAATTAAAATTATTGGCAAAAATAAAATATAATCAAAATACAAGTTCTAGATAATTCTGGTTGAATTTAACAAGGAAAATATTTAATAACTGAGTTTTTAAGTCGAAAACAATTGAGGTGAACATATTAATTATTTATTTTCAAAAATATAATGAGTGATCAAAGAAAAAGATTTCATTCATATGATGATATGGATAACACAAATATTATCCTTAAGGCACCTCTAATAAAGTAATTATATATTTACTATAATTTAGACCATTAAAAGATTCTTCAATTTTAATACCAGAACTATAATTAACATATGAAACACCAAAATGCTTTAAAAAGATGCCATTAACAATTATACCTGAAGATGAAAGATTAGAAGGATTATAAATTCCATTAGTGGGAAAACACATTAAAAAAAGATAAAGATTTCAAAGTGATAATGTTCGTCATACTGTTATAAATATGATGGAAAGACAATTATTAAGTAGAAACTCTTCAAAAATGCATATAGAAAATGATAGATTTTGATTTCAATTGACAACTCTGTATTTTATATTTGTTAACATTTAAATTATATAATATTTTTATTTAAACTTAGGAATCACTCTAATGTTTATACTGAATTAAATATATTTAATTAAACTATTTAAATTATTCTAAATAGATTCATTCAATCCTTTTTTAACTCTTCCTTAAAAAAGTTAGGATTATTAAGTGATTCTTCATTATATTTGATAATTTCATTATTTTTTTCAAACAATTTCATTACTTTATTCCAATTCTTCAAATCTAATTTCATAGTATAACGAGTTCCAAATATATATTAACAAAATCTAGCTCTAGATAATGCTACATTTGTTCTTTTTTTATCTTTAAGAAACCCTTATTGATTGTTAGATCGTACAAGTGATAAAATTATTATGTCATTCTCTTTTCCTTAAAATGAATCAACAGTGTCTAATTCAACATAATCTATTAATTTTTCAGTTCTATATTCCTATTCAGACTTTTTCATCTTAAAAGTCTTTGTTTTTAAACTTTAGTGTATGTTTTCTGTTTATGCTCTATAAGCACTTATAATAGTTATTGGTTTTTGATGATTTGTTAAAGTTAATTCATTTAATAAATATTAAACTAATAATATTATAGCTTAACATTCTATATCATTTTTTTTACTTGTTTCTTCACAACTTTCACTTTATGAAGGTGCACTAAAAAAAAGTCTATTTCGGTCATCTGAGATTTTTTATTTAATCCAAGGTGGAAATTACATATTTTCGATTCCATTTATCAATTTATTTTTATAAAACAATGCTGATGTAATTTCAGCAAGATTAGGCATTTATCTATACTAGAATGTAAGTTTATAAGAATTCTATTTCAATCCTTTAGCTAATCTTTAAAATAAAGATCTATTAAAATTATAATTGTTGGATTCAGAAGATATAACAATTGGATTTAATTATCTAGTATCTCCTAATAAAACAACTTTCTCAATTGATTTATATTTAACAAATGGTATTAATAAAGATGGTTCTAAAGCAGTTGGAGCTTCATCTATTATGCACATTCTAAGTTTTACAGTTTCAAAGAATTTTTCCAAACATTCCTTAGAACAACTATTTAGAGTGGAGACTATTACATGACACTAAATTATTAACTTTTTTTTATACTTAACTTAAGTAGTCTTATTCAATATCTGTATATTACTTCTTATTATGCTTTAGTAATTAGGATAATGAACAATATAAATCTCCATAAGCATCTAATATATTTTTATTTTTTGTTTTAAAATTCAAATCTTCAATATAGCTTAATAAAGAAATAAGAGTATATTATTGCTCAGTAAGTTATAAATATTCCCTAAATTCCTCTAGACTTTTCTTTTTTAATTTAGATTTTATTTATGAAGTAATATATTTAGCTTCATATTCTCTTACTAAATTCTTAAATTTGTGTTAAAAAAAATGGTTTTATGATCTTATTTCTAAACTCATTCTATAAATATCTGAATCACATTTTTCTGGTCTGCCAAATCTAACAACCTTTAAATAATCAGGTTTATAATCAAAACAGAAAATAATTGAATTTTTATTTTCAATATTGTTATGAATCTTTCTAACTAAATCATTAACAACACTATTTGATTTTGCTAATAATAATATTGCTCCTTAAGGATTTTCTTTAGATTTAATTAATAATTCCGACATTATAGCTATAATACCAATAGTAGTTTATGTTTTACCTGTTCCAGGAGGTCCTTTAACTATTGTAATCTATTATTATAATCAATATCTATTTACTTTTTGAGTAAAATCTAAGGCTTCTCTAATTGCATCTAATTAATTCTCATTAAAATACTATCTATATACATTGTTATTGAAATATTTTTATTATTCTTATCTTGCTTAAATACTAAATATTGTGCTATCACATTTATTTTCCATCTAACAAGGATTAAGTATTAACTTCCAAAATGGACAGTTAGATAATTAAAAAATAGTTTCCTTTTCATTTAAATAAGCACTTAATGGACATATAGGTTGAAAATAAACAATTAATTATTGATCCCAAATTCTCTGATTTCTATAGGATTTGTATTTAAGAGTTTCTTCATATTATATTATTTTCTTTTGATATTCTATCAATTTTTCATGAGTAGTAAAAATATTTTCAAATTTTAACATTGTAGTGGCCTCTTTAGTAAATGGCAAAATAAATGATTTTTCTTCTTGTTTTTCTTTGTAAACGAAAATAGCTAAAGATGAAAAGTATTAATCTACTCTATCTGGTTTTTTAGTGTAGATTACTCCAAAATATTATGAACTTTGTTTAAAAAGTAAATATTGAGCAAAATGAGTATATTTCCATAATTCATCTTAAGAAGCTGATTCATTCTTCATTTATTCATATTCTTTCAAAATATCAAATTTTATTCCTTATTCTCTACTAGGATCCATCTCATCATTGAGAATTATTTCAAAAACTAAAGGAAATGAATCACGATTTTTCAAGCAATTAAGAAATCTACTTTCTTCCCTTTTTAATGAACAATAAGTTTCATTCTAAAGAAGTGGAAATAAAAGATTTTGATATTCAGATATAGATTAAAATTTTTAATATCCAGACAAATTCTTTAGTTAGTTTGAATATCTAGCCCTTTAAAAAGCTTCATTTGTAAGTACATTAATAGGTTTTGAATACTCCAAGAATTCATTCTACATATTAAAATATTAATATTATCATATACTCTTCATAATTAAATTAAAAATGGATATTTTTTTGTAGTACATTATTTAACTTAAATTATAGTACAATGGTATTGATAATTATTAATAGATAAAAAAATTAATTAATTACATAAATCAAGTTCTATTTAAAAATTCAATTATAAAAGCTGATTTTTTGATAATAAATAATTTTTTTATTTAAAAACAAATTGAGAAATATTGAATAGAAATCAGAGTCATATAAAGATAGTATGATGCTTCATTCTAAAGAAGAACAAAAATTAATAAATAAAATCTAGCTCTAATTTTAATAATATAGAGGTAATAAATCAAAATTGATAAATCCTTGCTTTCCTCACTGTTTAGGCCAAACATTGGATTATGAGTTTTGATTTCCCATAATAATATTTGCTAGTAGAGTTCTTGTTTATAATAATGGTGTTGGATCTTCAAAATTTATTCTAGAACTTAAAATTTTAGTGTTTCCTTTTATAACTTTTTCTTTTCTTCTAGTAAGAGGTATTATTTTCACAGTTGATTCTAATGAATCCATTTAGATTGTATAATATAATTATTAATATTTTTGATTCTATAAATTTCGCTCATTTTTTAGTGAAAAACTTAATAAGGATTCTTAAAAATTCTTATTAATCTATTTTTAGATAGAATTTAATCAATCTAATTAAGATTCAAATGAAAAGGATAAGATAATTGATTGTGAACTAGATGGATAACATATTTTCATTAAAATAATTTGGAATGAAAAATAAATTGATTTTTATATTATATTATAATAATGAATATAAATGTGATTACCATTTTAAACCTTTAAAATAATGTCAATTTTAAAAACTAAATTATGATATTATTTACATGATGTGAATTATATGATTTAGAGATAATGAAGATAATTAATAACAAATTGTAAAATATAACTAATAAGTAGGAAAGTGTTTTAGAAGTATTAATGATTGTAATAAATAAAATAATGAGAAATAAATGTAAATGTTTTTAAGCAAAAGAAGAATCAACTTAAATATAGATAATAAAGAATGAGAGATCATATGATATAAGAAAATAATTAATTAGCGAAAGAAAACTGTTGAATTAAAGAAGACATAATACTGAAACAATATATTAATCAATTAATAATTGATTAATATAAATCTTAGAAATTTTCACAAAGAAATGGTGTTTAGGGTTACTTTTAAAGTATTAAGTGTTATAAAGAGTATAATTCATTGTAAAATACTAATTAGAAATTCGAACTAAGTTATTTGTTATAAGAATAGGTTACAGAAGAGAAAAAGTCGGATAGTAATTTACTATATGATGAAGATAGGGTTATTGGGTAACTGAAAAGATCATAACATATTATAAAAATAATAAAAATCTGATTATAGTTATGAGAAGTTAGAGATGATTTTGGTGAATAAATTTGGAAAGATGGTGCTCTTTATATTGGAGAGTGAAAAAAAATTAAGTTAATGGTTATGATATATTCTATCATATTAATGATGATATTTATGAGGGATTTTGGAAGGAAGATAAAGCTAAAGGATATGGAGTTTANAGTAGAGTTCTTGTTTATAATAATGGTGTTGGATCTTCAAAATTTATTCTAGAACTTAAAATTTTAGTGTTTCCTTTTATAACTTTTTCTTTTCTTCTAGTAAGAGGTATTATTTTCACAGTTGATTCTAATGAATCCATTTAGATTGTATAATATAATTATTAATATTTTTGATTCTATAAATTTCGCTCATTTTTTAGTGAAAAACTTAATAAGGATTCTTAAAAATTCTTATTAATCTATTTTTAGATAGAATTTAATCAATCTAATTAAGATTCAAATGAAAAGGATAAGATAATTGATTGTGAACTAGATGGATAACATATTTTCATTAAAATAATTTGGAATGAAAAATAAATTGATTTTTATATTATATTATAATAATGAATATAAATGTGATTACCATTTTAAACCTTTAAAATAATGTCAATTTTAAAAACTAAATTATGATATTATTTACATGATGTGAATTATATGATTTAGAGATAATGAAGATAATTAATAACAAATTGTAAAATATAACTAATAAGTAGGAAAGTGTTTTAGAAGTATTAATGATTGTAATAAATAAAATAATGAGAAATAAATGTAAATGTTTTTAAGCAAAAGAAGAATCAACTTAAATATAGATAATAAAGAATGAGAGATCATATGATATAAGAAAATAATTAATTAGCGAAAGAAAACTGTTGAATTAAAGAAGACATAATACTGAAACAATATATTAATCAATTAATAATTGATTAATATAAATCTTAGAAATTTTCACAAAGAAATGGTGTTTAGGGTTACTTTTAAAGTATTAAGTGTTATAAAGAGTATAATTCATTGTAAAATACTAATTAGAAATTCGAACTAAGTTATTTGTTATAAGAATAGGTTACAGAAGAGAAAAAGTCGGATAGTAATTTACTATATGATGAAGATAGGGTTATTGGGTAACTGAAAAGATCATAACATATTATAAAAATAATAAAAATCTGATTATAGTTATGAGAAGTTAGAGATGATTTTGGTGAATAAATTTGGAAAGATGGTGCTCTTTATATTGGAGAGTGAAAAAAAATTAAGTTAATGGTTATGATATATTCTATCATATTAATGATGATATTTATGAGGGATTTTGGAAGGAAGATAAAGCTAAAGGATATGGAGTTTATATGATCTAGATATGAAGGAGATTGGGATTAAGATCTTTATCATGGAAATGGTTGTGAAATATGCATAGATGGTATAAATATGAAGGATAATATTATAATGGAATGAAGCTGATAGTAGTATATATGATGGATTATGGGAAAATAATAAAATTAATGGATTTGGTAAATATACATGTTCAGATATAAGATATTATGAAGGATATTGGGAAAATTATNAGTAGAGTTCTTGTTTATAATAATGGTGTTGGATCTTCAAAATTTATTCTAGAACTTAAAATTTTAGTGTTTCCTTTTATAACTTTTTCTTTTCTTCTAGTAAGAGGTATTATTTTCACAGTTGATTCTAATGAATCCATTTAGATTGTATAATATAATTATTAATATTTTTGATTCTATAAATTTCGCTCATTTTTTAGTGAAAAACTTAATAAGGATTCTTAAAAATTCTTATTAATCTATTTTTAGATAGAATTTAATCAATCTAATTAAGATTCAAATGAAAAGGATAAGATAATTGATTGTGAACTAGATGGATAACATATTTTCATTAAAATAATTTGGAATGAAAAATAAATTGATTTTTATATTATATTATAATAATGAATATAAATGTGATTACCATTTTAAACCTTTAAAATAATGTCAATTTTAAAAACTAAATTATGATATTATTTACATGATGTGAATTATATGATTTAGAGATAATGAAGATAATTAATAACAAATTGTAAAATATAACTAATAAGTAGGAAAGTGTTTTAGAAGTATTAATGATTGTAATAAATAAAATAATGAGAAATAAATGTAAATGTTTTTAAGCAAAAGAAGAATCAACTTAAATATAGATAATAAAGAATGAGAGATCATATGATATAAGAAAATAATTAATTAGCGAAAGAAAACTGTTGAATTAAAGAAGACATAATACTGAAACAATATATTAATCAATTAATAATTGATTAATATAAATCTTAGAAATTTTCACAAAGAAATGGTGTTTAGGGTTACTTTTAAAGTATTAAGTGTTATAAAGAGTATAATTCATTGTAAAATACTAATTAGAAATTCGAACTAAGTTATTTGTTATAAGAATAGGTTACAGAAGAGAAAAAGTCGGATAGTAATTTACTATATGATGAAGATAGGGTTATTGGGTAACTGAAAAGATCATAACATATTATAAAAATAATAAAAATCTGATTATAGTTATGAGAAGTTAGAGATGATTTTGGTGAATAAATTTGGAAAGATGGTGCTCTTTATATTGGAGAGTGAAAAAAAATTAAGTTAATGGTTATGATATATTCTATCATATTAATGATGATATTTATGAGGGATTTTGGAAGGAAGATAAAGCTAAAGGATATGGAGTTTATATGATCTAGATATGAAGGAGATTGGGATTAAGATCTTTATCATGGAAATGGTTGTGAAATATGCATAGATGGTATAAATATGAAGGATAATATTATAATGGAATGAAGCTGATAGTAGTATATATGATGGATTATGGGAAAATAATAAAATTAATGGATTTGGTAAATATACATGTTCAGATATAAGATATTATGAAGGATATTGGGAAAATTATTTGATGCATAGAAATGGAATATAAATATATGGCCAGATAGAAAATGGAAATAAATATGAAGGTTATTGGTTAAATGGTAAATTAAATGAGGAAGCAAAAATAATAACTCAAAATAATCAAATTATAATATTTTAATGGAAAAATGGTTAGAGATTATGATTATATATATATTTATATCTAATTAATCATAGGATATTATTATTAAATATATTTATCTTATAACCATCTAATAATTTATACTATTTAGAATATAAGCGAATTTTATATTTTTTTAATAACATTATATTTTAGATTATCAACAGATAAATTAATAACTAAGTAAATTATTAATACTCAATAAACATAAATAAAATTTAAAAATACCTTAAATGATTAATGTATAATAAATTTATCTATTCGAAACAAAAGTATAAAAAAACATCATCAATTAGATCTGTAAGAACTTTAGTTGTTATTATCCCATCCTCTAACTGAAGGTAAAACAATTAATTTATTGAATTTTATAGGCTCAATATTTATATTAGAAACTTTTCTTATATTCCTTAATTAATTTACCTTTACTTCTTTTTGGATGTCTGGAATCTTATTTTTAATAAATTCTGATTTCATAAGTTTGAGTTTAAATATTATCATTTCTTCATCTTAAGGCAAATGAGTTGTTGGTTTTTATGGCTTGATTGAGAATTTAGATTCTTTATGTTCATGACAATTTTCTTTGGAAGATTTTGATTCTCTTCTATTTTTGAATAGCTTTTTATCATATAAATAAAGATTTCTATATTTTTATATTTAGACTCTTTATGAATTTGTTTATTTAAAAGTTGAAGGCTGATCTTGGATAGAATTTTTTCTACATGATAATTCTACTAAAATTTTAAGATCTTCAGTTTTATGCCTATCTTAAATTGAATATAATCTATTTGGACGATATAATATGGGGTTTTTTTTATTAAGGTTATCTTATCTGTTAAAATTCATGACAGAATAAATAAAATTAATTAATCATTATAATTAGTTATTATTTACATAGCATATCCTCTAACTTTCTTCCTCATTCATTTTCTTATTCCATTTTAGTGTATATAGAAATCCGATAAATAACTTAATACTTGATTATTTAGTTCTATGTTGATTATCAGTATGTTCATAACAAAAAATTATGTTTTGTTGAATAACATCCAAACATTCTAAAATCAACAGTATGATTATTCGAGATTTATTTTAGATTTATAATAGAATTAGAAGATCTAAACTTTTTTTTATTGTTCCATTTTATTGAAATGATAATTTGTATAGAAGTTTTTATTGATCATTTTTATAGTGATTATAATGAAGTTTGTTGAATTAATTTTATCAGAAAATGAAAATAACGTTTTGAATAATTTTCAATAAATTATATGGGAATAGTAAAAAAAATAATTAATGAAGTTTTAGAAAATTCTATTATATTTTCTGCTAGTTATCATTGAATTATTCAAAAGTAATAATAAAAATATTTGTTTATGTTTTTTTTTAAATTGTTTTAAGAATTGCTAAGTTGTCAAGATATGTATATAGGATGATGATCTTATAGAATTAATAAATGTAAAACATTATGATTATGTGTTAATGATAAGTTAGTCTTTTTTATTTATAAAAAGTGATATAAAATTATGAAACCTTTAAATAAACATGTATAAGTAATTCATAATTGGCATGATGCTCCAGTTAGAGTGAATTTAAAAAAGTATTGGAAAAAGAATCCTCTTGATTACATTTAATTACCTAAACCATATTCATAAAAGAACAAGATAACTTATTCTAAAAGAATCATTAATGATTTCGTAGAAGTAGTGAATCATAGATAAGAGATGGTAAATGGTATAGTAGAGACAGCAAATCATTTTCAAATGGCATCATCAAAAATATAAGATTGTTTTGCAGAATTTTATGGTCCTGAAACTCATTATCAATAAGAATTAGATAAAGTTTTAGATAATGTTAAACCAGAGTTTAGATATATAAAAGCTATAGCACATTAAAATCTAAAAAAAATACATAGTTTACTTAGAAAGTAAAAACAATAAACACAATAGGATTAACAACCATTGAGAATATTAACTAAGAAAGATAAATTGTTTTTACTAAGTGATCCAAAAAATGCAGATATTTTAAAAAGTGATTCTAGATAGTCTAGAACAGAAACTCTACCTATAACTCCTGGAGAAGATAAATTTACATCATAATATAAAATGATGATACATAAATAACATTAAAGAGAACAACAAAAATAAAACATGATTTAAATAAGATTGTTTGATAGTTAATTAAAATATTAAGGTGATGATTATGTTAAATAGAATATATTCAAATCTAATATGAAGCATACCTATACTCCTAAAAATATTGATAAAAATTATTATGTTAATAATTTAAGACATTCTACTTAAGAATCTGTTGAATTTAAAAGTCCTTCACATTTCAAAACTGCTATTCATAGTCGATAAATAAGTAATTATATATCTCCAAATGGTTCTCAAGATTTCAATATCGGTTATGATACTATCATAGAAAATAAAGATAAATTACGTTCTTTATAATAGACTAATGATAATAATAAAAAGAGATCTTATCATTCATTTAAAGATTTAATTAAATAATAGAGAGACGTAGAAATCAGAAATTTAACAGATATTAAATAATACACAAAAACTGCATCCTAACCTATACTCACTCAATTGTGATGTTTTAATTATCATTTTAATTTATTTAAAATTTAATAATACTTCTTTTCATAATATTTACAGGATTATCTTGTTTTTTGATCTTTTTAAATGATAATCAACTAAACACTAAATAAATAATGTTATAAGAAGCTTATTTTATTTGTGTGAGTGCTCAATGTTAATAAGACAGAATTTTAAATGATTGGGAATCAATTGTAGCTCATCAAAATGAAGGTCATGAAGTATTAGAAAAAGAAGACCTTATTAATACAATCAATCTTAAACTAAATAAAAAGAAAACTACTTTACTTTAAGATTTATTAGCTAGAATTCATAAAATTATGATTAATCATGAAGATGCTTTAATTTCATTAATTAATCAAACATTTTTTGAAACATATAAAAATTGGAAAGAATAAATCTAATCTTATTAACAATTCCAAGACTATTTACTTCCAAATTAAATTGATTTAGATACTACAGTCTCTAAACTTATAGATGTTTATTAAAATTTAGATAATGAACAAATTCATTTTTTTAAAGATTGTCTTTATTAAACAGAAAATTAGTATAATGAATTATAGAAATAAATTAAAATGCATTTAAATAAAACTGATTAAGAATTTAAGATTCTCTAATAATCTTTATTTAATTAAATATAAGAAAACAAAAAATAAAGAGAAACAAGATTATAATATCAATCAAATGATAACAAAAGATAAATTATTACATTACAAAATACTTAATAAGAGATGATTTAATAAAAAGATAAATCAGTAATTCAAAATGGAGAACTTAAAAATACTCTCAAGGAAATTTAATTAAAAACTGATTTTCAAATTTCAAAAGATTCATTTAATTTTATAGATTCTCAATAATAAAGAGAGCAATCCCAAAAGAATCGTTTTGATCTTTAAGAAAATGGAAATAGTGTTATTGTTAATACAAATACAAACAATAAAATAAATGAAAAACCCTAAAAATATATTGTTTTAACAAAGTAGAAAGATTCTCGTAAAAATTAACATTTTGAATAATATACTAATTAAAAATAGGATTCTTAAGAACAACAATTTTAGAATTAAAAACCATAACCAGAAATTAAATAAATATAATCATCAGAAAATATTATTAGAGAAAATTCAACAAAATAAATTATTGATTCTATTAATGAAGTGAAAGTATTACCACTTAGAGGTTATAAAGATCATTAACAATAATAAAATAGTGTTATATTATAATCGAATCAAAATATTAATGGTAAAGCATAAAATGAATAATCTATTAATAAAACTTAAGAAATCAATTCTGAATCTTATATGTCACCACCAAAACCTCCTCCATTAAGAGGTTATAAAGATAGATAAAATGAAGAATAAAAAGTAGTAAAATTGACAAGATCTAATGATAATAAAAGAAATTATTTAGATACAGAATAAATCAAAGATATATAATTAATAACTACAAAAAGATTTGATATTGATAAATCTGAAAAGCATATGAAATATTCAAATAAATTTAGTACTATATTTAGTATTAAAGAGTGTTTTGCTGTTGTTGAAGGGGTTTTTAAATTAACAGAATAGAATTAAATTCATATATATCTTAGATCTTCTGTTGAAAATTATGAAATTGAAGCAGGAATAATTAATTTAACATAGATAAAATAAAAATATGCATTTCCAAAAGTTTATGGTTTGAATGAAAAAGGAGGTAATTAATTAATTAAATTTTAGAATGTTTATCTAGTTAAACTAAGTCATCGATTAGATTGCTTTTAAATTAATCATATATATTTGCATATAGAAAAGAGGAAAAAAATTTAATTTGTTTAGATTTAATGAAAAATACATAATATGCTATATAATTACCGAATGATGATACATCAGATTATGTATTTTTTATCAAAATGAGTAACTTAGAAGTTTAACTTATTTGAATTATGAAAGTATTTTATAAAATGATTGCAATATATATATAATAAATTTGATTTATATAAAAAAGAAATATGAGTAATATTTGATTAAATTATATAAGTAAATAGAAATTAAGAATGGGTTATGTTGATATAGTAATATTGAATAATGAGTAAAAAATGATTGATATAAAGGAGAGTAAATATTTATATGTATATATAATTATGTTTAATTTAAAAAAGAGATGTTTTAAGTTTAATTGAATAAATGAAAAAATTTAAAACAGGATTTAAGGTATGTTTATTTATTAAGATGATAGTTTGAAAAAGTCAGGATACTGAATGTGGCAGAAAAACCTTCAGTAGCAAGGTCAATAGCAACAGTGCTTGCTCGTGGTCACTCTGTAGAAGAAACCTAATCTCCTTATAATAAATTATTCAAATTTGATTTTAATTTCGGAGATTAGGAAGCTGAGATGTGGATGACATCTGTTACAGGTCATTTAAAAAATTTAAGATATCCTATGAAATATAAGAGTTGGGAATAATGGGATCCATTAACAATATTATAAGATGCAGAAATTGAAAATATAATATCAAATGAAAAGAGTATAATATGGAATTAACTATAGGATCTTTGGAACAAAATTTATCAATATTTGCAAAATAATGTAATCAATTAATTCTGTGGTTGGATTGTGATAGAGAGGGTGAAAATATAGCATTTGAAGTTCTAGATGTTTGTAAAGAATCAAATCCATAAATTTAAGTACATAGAGCTCATTTTTCAGCAGTTACTTATGTTGATATAAAGAAAGTATATTATATCAATTTATTTTTATTTTTTAGGCTTTAGACAATTTAAAAAAGCCAGATGAAAATTTATCAAATTCTGTATTAGCTAGATAAGAAATTGATCTAAGAATAGGAGCATCATTTACAAGATTTTAAACACTATTATTATAGAAGCAATTCAATCTAACATCTATTGTTAGTTATGGTCCATGTTAAATACCTACATTAGGATTTGTTGTATAAAGATAAAAAGAAATTGATTCATTTGTTAAAGAGAAGTTTTGGTATATTTAATGTGAAGATTAAAGTGGATGTGTATATAATTGGAGTAGAGGAAATATCTTTGATGAAATGATAGTATTGATACTTTTTGAAAGATGCTTTACAGAATAAGCAAAGGTAACTGATGTTTAATAAAAAGAAGTTTAAAAATGGAAACCTTATCCGTTATCTACAATTGAATTTGAAAAATTAGCATCTAAAAAACTTAAAATATCTGCTCATAAAGCTATGGAATTAGCTGAAAAATTATATAATAGAGGTTTTATTAGTTATCCAAGAACAGAAACTAACAAATTTCCACCAACAATTAATTTATAAAATATTATAAAGGATTAGATAAATCATCCTGTATGGGGAGAATTTGCATAAAATTTAATTAATTATAATTTTGATTAACCTAGAGCAGGAAATAAAGATGATAAAGCTCATCCTCCAATACATCCAGTTAAAATGATGTGTGAATCAGATGCTTAATCATAATAAGAATGGGCTGTTTATTAATTAATTACAAGACATTTTTTAGCATGTTGCTCTAAAAATGCAAAAGGATCTGAAACTACATTAAATTTATAAGTTTAAGAAGAATCTTTCTATAAATAAGGTTTAGTTATCCTTGAAAAAAACTTTTTAGAAATTTATCCTTATGATGAATGGTCATAATCATAGATTCCAAAATATAATAAAGGAGATATGATATAAATTTAATTAAAAGTTTAAAATGGAAAGACATCTCCTCCATCTCCATTAACAGAAGCTGAATTAATTGGAATGATGGATAAAAATGGTATTGGAACAGATGCAACTATTCATGAACATATAAATACTATTTAAGAGAGAGAATATGCATTAAAAAAAGGTTAAGTTATTAAACCAACTAAACTTGGATTAGCATTAGTAGAATCTTATGAAGTACTTGGTTTTACACTTCATAAACCTCATTTAAGAGCTCTGATGGAATAAAGAATGAATGAAGTTGCATTAGGAATTAAATAAAAATAAGATATAGTTTAAACTACTATTGAAGAAATGGGTGTTATACTAAAAGAACTTTAATAAAAAAAATAATTAATCATTTAAACATTTGGACAATATTTAGAAGCTTTGAAAGATTATGATGAAAATAATATTGATGAAAATACCTAAAATAGAGATCTGACATAATTAAATTAACAATTTTAATAACCATAAAATAATAATAATAGAAAATAATAATAATAATAATAATAATAATAATAATAATAATAATAATAATAATAATAAAGATTTTAAGATTTTGATAGATCTTAAAATAATCTAAATTCTAATTTTTAATCTAAAACATTCCCAAATGAAGAGACTTTCTAATGTAATTTGTGTAGAAATTAAATGAAAATTAGATAATCTAAAATAAAAAGTACCTATTTTTTAGGTTGTCTTGGTTATCCTTAATGCAATTAAGCTATATTTTTACCTGATTATATAAAATCAATATTGAGAACAGATAAAAAATGTAAGAAATGTAATTCTTTATTATTTTAAACTGAATTTTCAGAAAACTCAAAATTATAACAAAAATCCCAAACTTTATGTTTACATCCTGGATGTTCTGAAGGTTTGAAAACAGAATGGAAAAATAATAATAAGGAATCTCAATAAACTAATTTATTAAATTCAAAATCTAAATAAGGTTTCTTGATGAAATAGGTCTTTTGTAAGAAATGTAATTAATCTGGACATTTCGAAGATGTATGTAATAATACTAGGACAATGGTATCAATAGAAGATCCAAATAAAGATGAAAAAAAAGATAAACTCTGTCCCTCATGTGGAATTACGGGAAGGCATCCCAAAGCTTCTAATTGCCCTATGAAAAAGGGAAAGAAGAAAAATTAATGATCTCAACTTAATTCATTTAAATTTATGAAGTAAAATTATAGCTTCAATTACTTTCATCAATCGGTACCTGTATTCCAAATATTCTGGGTGTTGTTAACAAAATTCTATGGCTAATTAAGCAGCATCTGTTTTATCTTGTACTTCTATTAAATCGATCTTTTTTTGTTTGAACTTTATTGATATATAAAAGTTTTGATTTTAGTTCATTCTATTTTATCAAGGTTCTAGAATATTAATTTAAATTAAAAATACTTTTCCAAAATATAAAGCATTCTTAAAAATACAAAATGAATCTTGATGATCAAATGGAAAGATGTGATGTAGATTATTGTAAAAGAAGAGATTTCTTACCATTTAAATGTACTTTATGTAATCAAAAATTCTGTCTTGAACATAAGGAATTAAAATAGCATGAATGTCCATTTCAATATCAAGAAAGAAAAGCTCTTTAATGCAAGCAGTGTAATTAAGTAATTAATTACCTTTCATCATAATTTGAAATTGATGTTCTAAAGCAACATGTTTGTTAAAAAATTAATGTTCAAAAATCTAAATGCCCCAAATGCAAAATTTTATTAAATGATCTTAATAAATTTTATTGTACTTCATGTAAAAGAAATGTATGTTTAAAACATAGAATGCAAGATGAACATGAATGTGATAAATTCAGCAAATTTAATTACTGTGCCATAATGTGATTTTGTTTGTATTTTATTTAAGATAAACTGGTACTTCAATATTAAATATTGTTTTTAGTTTACTTTCATTAAAATTCTTTTAAAATATGCAAATATATATGGAAACCCTTATAAAATATCTAAATATTCTTATACAATTTATAATATTTATAGTTATATACATATGGTTTTTCACTTGAATTATCTACTTTCAGATTTTTCTTAAGATTTGGAATATATTTGAATTGTATAAAATGATTTACTTGGTTTTCTGTTAATAATTTGCAATTTAGATTGTTTTTTATTAATTGTGAATTGTAAATTATAAATAGCAGGTTATCTTTATGAACATATTTTAGTTTAAGGCATGATTATATTTTCATTAGTCTGAAAAACAAAATAATCCATATATTCAGTTTTAATTTAAAGTTTATTTGGCCTTGTTTTTTGAATTCTTTAATCAATAGGTGCTCTGCTTCCTTCAATATAGATTCCACTAAGATGTCTTGACTTCTACTTAGAACTCAAACTTCTACTTTGTAGTAAATAATCGAATAGACTTTTTCTACCCCTTAAAGGAGTTTGCTGCATATAAATTAATATATAATCCCATAAATTTTAAATATGGAAAAGGTATATTAAATGAAGTATAAGTTAATTAAATAATGAATATGATGAAATTTGATAGGGACATCTGCTTATAATGATGAACATATCTTGCTAGCCCTGACTCAATATAATATTTTTATTGAATTTAAAATAATATATATTTATGATAAAAATAATACTTGGATTGGTGACATTATTGAGTGTAGTAGCTTAAGATGCTATTATATGTAGTGGTTTTATAAGAATTCCAAAAGCAGATAAATAAGATATTAATGTGAATCAAATAGAAATGAAACTTTTAGGAACAAATAACTAATTTATTGATTATATTGAGATATCTGAAAATGGATTCTACTCTATAGAAATCGAAGATGATGCTTCTTCATTAATTGATTACATCATTTTTATTTAACCAAAAGTAAAAGGATTTGTGGCCAGTCCAAGTTAAATTAATTTAAAATTTCAATCCAAAACATTTGATGAGGCTAGCTCTTTTTGTAATAAATAGTTGAATTTTTCTATTAAGAGAGCCCCAGTTGAAGAGCCAAAAGTATAATAATAATAATAGTAATATTAGTAACAATAATAATAATAATAATAATAATAATAATAATAATAACAATAACAACAATAAAAGTAATAACAATAACAACAAGAAAAAACTATATTTTAAGATGATAATGTTGAGAAATTATCATAATAAGCAGAAGTAGATACAAACATTGAATATATAGAGGCTTAAACTAATTAATAAGAATAGGATTAAGCATTTATTGAATAAGTAACAGAAAGGGAATAAGAAAAGCAATAAGTGTAAACTGATGAAATATAGGAAGAATTATTGAATTCAGATATTGATGAAAAATCATTTGATCATTTTAGATTAATAGGATAAATAGTTTTTGAAGGAGATTTTACATAAGCAGAAAAAAATTTATATTATATTAAGTCTTTTAAAGTTTTTGATAATTAAGATGGTATTATATTTAGGATTGTTATTAGAATAACTTTAAGGTAGAACATTGAGTTTTTATAATTACTTTGAAGTTGAAACAAATGAAGCAAAAACTCTAAAATTATAATTAGTTGTTGAGAAAACTAAGGAAAAAGGAGAAAATGTTCATAAGTAATTAAATTTCGAATAAAATATATCAAAAATTTCATTACTCAATAGATAGATAACTACTCAACCAGTATTATATTTTATAATTATTTAGATCATATTTGCCATAAAGAAGGAAACCCCATCAAAAGAATAGAATAAAATAGGTCAAGTATTTGCTCCATTAATAATTTTTGGATTAGTTTTGGCTATGTTTAATTATGATAAAATATTAAAAAAAAAGTGATTATATAATCATATATGTATATTAATGTAAAAATAAATAATAATGATTAAATTTTTTAAATCAATCTTTTAATTTTATTGTTATTTATTCAAATAGTTAATAGATTTTCATAGAATGAACATCGTGTAGCTAATATACTTTATTATGAATCTTTATTAAGTCGACTTTCAATTAATTGATTCTCTTTTCACAAGGAGTTTTCTCTAATAAAGTACATATTTATTAAGCTGCAAGACAATATTTTCTAATATTGATACATTTATCATCATAATCTCTTAATTAATTAGTTTCATAAACTAATAAGTATTTAAATTTTCCTATTAATTCTTAAAATGTATTTTCATATTTTAAAGTTTTGCAGTGCTTTTAATGAAATGAATTATGATTATTTTTATACATTCTTACAAATTATTAACATTCTTTACAAAAGATATAGTAATAATCATCACTTTAATTAACTAATTTTAAATCTGAATAATTTTATTTTCTATTTACACACTATTCCAATTATTAATAATCATAAAATCTATCGATATAAGATTGAAAACTGTGAATTTATGATACATTTTAATCAGATTTAATTGTATATTAAATAGATACATTCTCTAATTCAACATGTTCTAAAGTTTAATTAACTTAGACTCCAATTGTAGATTTAGGTTTTTGAATATCTATATTTTTAAATAAAGATTAATGAGGTAGTTTATCTTGATTAAAACTGGTTTGGCAGTTCTTATCTTCTTGTAATTATTATTAAATAGTATTTGGCAAGATAGATGTTTTTATTAAACTTTTAAAAAGAGGAATTGAAAAATGAAGTTGATCAAATATTCTTGGTTTTATTTTATTAATAGTTTAATAGGATGGTTCTGCATTAAGAGGTATGATTTCATTTTCTTTTTTTATCGAGATTAATTCATCTTGATAATGAGAAATTTCAGCTAATTTTTAAGTTGAATTTAAGAAAGATCTTAAGGATTATTATTCAGTAAGAAATATTGTTCCTTCATGAGGTAAAAATGGGTTTGCAAATTTTTATTCTTCAATTTAATCATACATAAGTTTAAATTTTTCCTTTAAACTTTCTTTGTATTTCTGGAGGGGATCTCTGTTAGAAGATACAAATCTTGAATTGTTACTATAAGTAGATTGAGAGTTATTCATTTTTAGTTTTGATTTTATTGAAATTAATATAATGATCAAAATCCAAAGTTTTTATGAGTAATTTAATTCATTGAATTATGATAAACAGATTGTAGTGATTTATTATCTTAATTAACTTCAACAACATGTAATTCAATACGAAAATCTTTTTAGAAGGTTTTACCAGATTTGTCCTAATTTATAGATAAAAATAATACTTTACAAGCTTTATCTAGCATAAATTTATCAATCATAAGAACACCTGTATAATCAAAGAAATCACAATTAAACCAAGCTTAAAAGAGTTTTTCACTACTATGAAATATATTTTTTTTATAAATACCCAGACAAAAATCCTTAATTTAAAAACTGTAAGAGAAAATCACCTTACAAAAATATATCTTTAAGTTTAAATTCAATATATGGTTCTAATTTATATTCTTTGACAGGAAATTAATTTTTAGAATTATATTCTTTGTCTTTATTTTAGATTCTAAACCAAGGTGCACAGCCACCAAAGAAATTAACATTTGGTACTGGAATCAATCTAATCTTGACTAATTCAACTTATTTATTTGGCATATTATCTGGAACCCATTTATTATTGAGTGCTTTTTCAAAATAAAAGATATATCTAATTTGGGATGGTATGGTAACACCCTTAAAAAATACATTTAATAAATAATACTTTTTTATTTTTGGTTCTTATCATACCATAATATCTCATGGAATCATAAGCATTGGCAAATTATTTAGCATAAAGCATATAACAACAAATCATGACACCAGTACGTCCCTATATTTGTAAATTATTTTAAATACTTTTCCTGCTTTACAATGAATTCCAGCAACATTTTTTTCATGTGCTTTAAGCCAATTATCCTATTGAAATTATAAAATAATTACTAAATCAATACAAAATTCATATATAAGTGAGAAAGTAGGTGCTTAATGATCTTAGAATGGAAATTCTGCTACCTAATTAAAATTAGAATGATCATATTTTCTTTCTTCACAAAGATTGTATACTTTATAATGACCAGGATGTACAGAATCAAAAAATCTTCGCACATCTTACATTGAATTTCTGTAAATAGATTCTAAATTTTCAGCAGGAAAACCCATCGCTATAATCTTTTCAGTTATATCTAAGATTTTATGAATTCGATTACATGTCAAATCTAAATTAAATCCATTGTAATTATATCTTCTTTTTTATTTGGAAACTAACAATTTAATTGGATTAGGAACACTAGTAATATTTTAATGATTTCCACTGATATGTTGATTTACTTAATTAACTTCTTATCTTAATTATTATGTGCTGACTCTTTCTCTTAAATTGATTTCTTATCCTTTCTAATCATCTTAAGCAATTCCATTAGCTAAGGCAGCAAAATCAATTTAGGACATATAAAAATTATAATTTTCAGGATCACATTCATCATTAGAATCAGAGAATCCATCTTCTTCTCCAGATGATATTTCATTCTGTTTTGCTCTTAATTTTAATTCCTCTTATGTTGATATATGCATTATTAATATTATAAATGTCTTTTGAAAAGTGTATTATATTATATTTATATTCAATAACCAATAAAATCAACCATTTGTAGTTTCTCCAACTCCGCAATTCAAACATTCATAAAATTTGGTAGAAGGTTCATCACTAGCTCTAGTTTAAATTTCATTAACCAATTTCATTTATTTTTAATTGCAATTATTACACATAGCTAATGCTACATCTTTATTAATAGCTTAAGCTATATATTTATTATGGTTCATATCATTAGCTGATAGAATTTCTCTACCTACTCCCCCTGCTAAGGCTAATCTCTATTTCTAGACTCATATATATACTGTTGCACTTGTCCAGTCTTCTGATCTTAATTATGCTGCTGTTGGTATATCAATTAATCCAGTTAATAATCTATTTCTAACACTTCCATCTTTATCATTTTATAAATATTTCAGTATCTCTTTTATAGCTGTTTAATATTATCTTTCTTTATCCTTAAATTTCATACTTATCTAACATTAATTTTATTATATACTTCATTTTCTAATCTCTTACAAAATGTAATACTTTCTTACTATGAAATTTATTCATTGTTAAATTTCTGAATTATTGTCTGCAATACTTTCAATCTAATTGGATCAAAATTTTATGGAAGTCCCAATTAATTCATAAAATCATTTTAATTAATTGCACCTGTATTTTATACTTCCACTGATTATTTTCTATCTGGAGTTACAGATATTGTTGTTATTTTTTCTTATGGTCCTGGCTTCTCATTTCTTTTTAACTTTTATAAAGTTTCTGTTGCTTTTTCTTTTATTTATTTCATATCTTATTCACTTAAATTTCCTTCACTTATTAATTCAATTTGTGTAAGTGTCCTCACAGTTTTGTGAATTTTAGACTCAGCAAGTGCCCTAATCTATATCATCTACCATACTTTTAATCAATCTTCGGATCCTCTAATTGATTAAGTATACTAATGACTTATTTTTTTCCAGTCTTTTTGTAAGCATGAAGTTTCTTTCTCATATCTTGTAAATCTATTTAATCCATCATGTAATTTTATTTATATAATTAATATAATGAATTATTCTTTAATTTCAAAGAATTAAATAAAAGTGTCATTCAATAATAAATTTTATTCATGTTGTTAAATCTAAATCACATGTAAACACATTTATATATTTACTGAACTCATATTATCAAATATTATTTTTTTAGGCTCCAAAAAATATATAAATCAATTATTATACATTGCAGTGTGTGTAAAATTTATAAAAATAAAGTGAAAATATCACTTTTAAAATATAAGAAATATAACAGAATAACAGCAACCAGGTATCTGAATTATTGTAATAAACATAAAAATATTTTGATCTGATGCTTCTTTAAATTGGATTCCAACAAATGTTTGTTTGATAGCAATAATAATTGGATATGGTGATAATAAATTTATATAATTATAGATTTTACTGATAGTTGAATAACAAAGTTTCTAAACCTGATTTATTTAAATTATCATAGATTTATATCCATTTTTACATTTCTGCATATAAAATAATCAAGAATCACAAATTGTATCTAAACTTTAAAAACGTGTCTGGACAAATTCTTTAAAGTATGAGGATAACATAATAGAAATGGTAGCATACTTCTTAGAATATAATAATAAAGAAGTGAATAATTTAGTAGGGTTTGATGAAAAATAAAATGAAAGAAAATTGTAGAGATGCTGTTTCGATAAATGTTCATGATATATGATATAAATCAGGCGGTGACAACGTCTCCTCTAACTGTTTCAGCAACAGCTACGGTTTAATCAACCAAATCAGCAGCAACACCAGCTGAGGTTAAAGCACTTCTCAAATGTCCAATGACTGTAGTGAATTGAGCATTAGTGACTCCCATATTGGCATGGACTTCTTTTAAGTTCTAATATAATGTTAATTTATTTTTTATACTCTGCCTCCCCAAGCCTTTGGTCCTCCAAGAGCAGCACATAAAAATGAAGCTGTCTTGCTTGTTTAGTCAGCCATGTTAATTCCATTGAAGAAATTAGAAACTGTGGCATCAGCTTAGATGTTAGCATAGAATTATGTTGTGACTGCTGTGACGGCGGCTTCTCCTCCTAATTATTCAAAAAGTGTCATTTTTATTTTGTCGATTTTTATTAATCAAAATATAGGATATGTTGGATAGTTTTGAACGTAGGAAAATTAAGATATATTTCGTAGTATAAATTAAAAATGCGTATTATAGCATTAAATTAGTTTATAAATTATTAGTTTATTTGCTGTTTCATAATATCAACAAGCTTAATCAGAATTTTCTTCGAGATTCTTTATTTTTTCATCTTCCTATAATCTACCTGAACATTGCATAAGTGTATCCATCATTTCAGATTCAAAAAATTCAAATTTTTCTATTTCATTTTGTTTATCAGGTGAAGGTGGTGGCAAATATTAATAAATACTGAGTTCATTTTCAGGTACTTTATAAGAAGTAAAACTAAATTAGCTTTTCTTTGGACATTAATCTAATCTCATTGAACACATATTTGATAATTATTATTAAGTTTATTAAAATATATTTTCTTATTTTAATTCCATAGAATGAAGATTAATTATTAATTATTAAGAACCTAAAAGTATTGATTATTATCTTCTATTATGTCTTTATTTAAGAATCAATCTTGGATCATTTTTTCTATGATTTAATCTTATTAAAAGACTTCTTTGACTTTCTAATAATTATTAATTTTCACTGAACCATATATGTTTTAATGCTGTATCAGGATGAGGTCTTAAATTCCATTCTTTTTATAATAATTCAGTAATCAATTATTTTGCTTCCTCAGATACTCCCTCAAATAATTCTTAAGGGAATTAAATCTTAGCTTCTTTAATATTATCAATTAAATCATTCAAGCTAATATTAATTTAATAAATACTAATCTGCATTAAATGGTAATTATCCTGATAACATTGAATATAAAATACAACCAGCACTCCACATGTCAACCATCTAACTAATTTATATCATATATTTTATTACTTATATCCTTCTCCTGTAAATATTTCAGGAGCAGAAAATGCTACTGTTCCAGTATATGTCCACATTTCTATTTTATCTCTATCTTTTAAATCTCCAAATTCTTTATATGAATCACTAAATTTACTTACATTAAAATCAGTCACTTTTATTTACTTTTTATCTAATAACAAAATGATAAATACTATTTACGCAAAGTATATTATTTGGTTTTAGATCTCTATGGCAAATACCGTTTCTATGTAAATATTCAATTGCACTTAATAATTATTTAAATATTTCTTTAGCATCTGCTTCACAATAATGACCTAATGAATTTAAAACTTCAAACATTTCCTATCCTTCAATCAGTTCCATTACAACATAAGCTTTACTTTCAGATTGAAAGCTATTATCAAAATCAACATATAATTTATGTACTTTAACAATATTTTCATGTGATAATTTAATAAGTCTCTTAAATTCAATGATCATCTAAAATAATTAATTCTTAAATTACATTTCTAATAATTTCATCATCTTAAGTCTATACTATCTTGACAGCAAATAATTCTTAAGTAGTTTTGTGAATAATCTTTTTGACTAATCCTAAACAACCTTCACCTAATACTTCTAAAATATCATAATTATTATCAAATTCTTTAGTATTAGGACATATAATTTCTGAATCAACTGAATTAATTTCCACATCTAATTTTTTTGCAAGATCTTATAACTATTCAATTTAATCTTTGTTAACTGGTAATGGTTTATTTAAAATATGTAGAATCTATCCTATATGTTAATTATACTAAATACCCCTTAAATTAGATTTAATGCGATCTCTATTATTTTATACTTATTATTGATGATCATCTTATGATGTTTTAAGAAATGTAAATCTACCACTTGGTTTTTTTTCCATTCTAGCTTTAATAATTTCATTAGGAGAGTCTCGTTTTTAAATAGAAGGACTCAAGTGCATAAATTAATAATAATAATTAATAGATAATGAATGAGACTGATTAATATTATGGTTGGATATGAATGAATCTAGTAAATATATTAACAATAATTAAATTGTATTATATGAAAGTGGATGATATCAACAAAACTATCCAAAAGAAAAGTAAGGTGAGTAATGAAGAAATGAATGAAGATGAGTATGAGAATTCTAGATTAAAATATATAATAATGATGCTTGCATGTCTTTTAATGTTTGAAAATAATTATTCATTCGATAATCCATAAGCATTATAAAAATAATTAACAAAAGATTTAGATATATCAATAACTAATTATAACTTATTATATTCTGCATTTTCATTTCCAAATATATTTTTAACATCAATTCGAGGGTTAATAATTGATTTTTTAGGTAAATGTTCTTATTTTATTAAAAAGGTGTAAGATTTTTGGAATTAATTTATTTAGTGCAATAATAGTAGTAATAGGTGGAACATCTTTTTTTGGAATCATATTTACACTCTCATTATATTTCTTTGATAAAAAAGGATCTATGATATTAGATTTTATTAATCCAGAAGATCCTTCTGAGGAAGAAAATGCTTAAAACTACTAAATCTGAATCTAGTAGTGATGAAGATTCAGATCATGATAATCAATTTCAAAAATTCAAAACTAAGAGTTATGCTAGTTTTAAGACTAATAAATTATTAGCATCTCCATTAATTAGATCTAAAAGTTTATTTTATTGATCATCATTTCTTTGTACATTTTATTATTATATATATCATATTTAAAATCCTTTTTTCTTTTTCCATTTCTATCAATCAATTCAAAAAAGAAATATTGTTCAAGATTGCTTTCTTATTTTCTAAATTGTCTAAAAAGGTTAGAAGAATCAATAAAATAATAATATTAGAAATAATACTAAATATCTAATCAAATTATATTTAATACATCTTCTTCTTACCATAAACTAATAATAATATTAAATTCAGCTAAACACTCAAATTTATCGATAATTCAATTTACTAATCCCTAAGAAAATTGATGATTTTATATCATATATAAACAGACCTTATTTATACATAAAAATATCATATAATTGTTGATAAAATAATTAGATAGATTTTTAAAGTGGTTTAAAGAGTATAATTAAAGGTAAATATTATAAATGAGTAGAAAATAAAGAAAACTATAAAAATTATAGTTTCTTAAAATATATAATTCTTTATTAAATGTATAATCTTGATATTTACAGATAAATAAATCATTTATAAATGTTGATGATTATTAAAAATTAGATCATGATTTTGCAACAATTTAAAATATACTAAAAATTCATCAAATACATTTAGATTTAAATAAGATTGATAATAAGAATCTTGAGTATTAAATTTTAATTACTATTTCTAAATAGAAAATTCTATTCTAAAAATTACATTAAATGTGTTAGAATAAATAGTGAAACCAAGTATTGATAATATCATTTAGTTTAGAATACAATAGAAATGAAAATATAAATTGTAGATTAATTCAATAAATTTATTCTAAAAGGAAAAATATGATTAGCCTGTCTTTTAACTAAAATATTAAGTATATAAATAGTAAGGTAGAATGATTTGATTGAGTAATAATATAAAATCTTAAAGAAAGACCTTTAGATTATGGTGATGGAACTTTCCAAGATTGAATAAGAGAATATTTAACATCATATTTGTATGAATTTGAAAATAATTTAATTTATTAATGCTTAATTTTTTTTAATCGATTTGTTGCTTTTCTAATCGAGAGAAACCTGATAAAGCAAATAGACCAATTTAAAAAACAGCTTAAACAATGTCTATTTAACCTATAATATCTGAGAATACATAGAGTTAAGTGTTAGAAAATGATATTATAGAAACGGATTAATACCTTCAATTAGACAATTAAAACTATTTTGAACAATTGGAGTATATATACAATGTTATTAAATCAGTTTTCAATCTTCTAGTGATTTACCATCTACTTAATAACCTTCTGACTTCATGATATAAGAAGAAAGTATAAACTACTAAAATATCAAAGAAGAAGTTAAATAGAGTATGAAAAAGGAATAAAATACTATAAGAAAAGTAAGATTCATTTATATATTTATTAGAAAAGAGTTCTTAAACTTTGGGATGCCACTGAAGATGCTTAATTACGTATTCAGTATGAAAAACATAATGGAAAATGGAATGATATTGCTAAACATATGCCAGGTAGAAATGTTTCATAATGTTGTTAAAGATGGAGAAGATTGCAACCAATTAAGATTGTATTTATATTTTTATTATTTCTAGATTAAGAGAAAATAATGGACTTAAATAGAAGATGAAAAAATACTTCAATTAGTCTAATTACATGGTAAAAATTGGAAATTGATTTCTTTACGTAAAAATTAATTCAACTATAGTGCCTTAGACTTTCCTGGTATTTTGAGTAAACAAATTAGAGAACGTTATATAAATAAAATTGACCCAGAAATTAACACTGGACCTTGGACTGAATCTGAAGATGCAACCATCATCAAATTATATAAAGAATATGGAGGAAAGTGGAGTATTATTTCTTCTCATCTCAAAGGGAGGCCTGTAATTTTTATCAATATTCATCTTTAGGAAAATATGGTCAAAAATAGATTCTATTGTTATATCAGAAGAGTTTATCTTGGTGTCTAAAATCCATACTAAATAGTTTATAATGAAAATTCTGATAGTGAATAAGAAAACTCTAATGATGAAATCGAGTTTGAATGAATATTATAACCATAATAACATTATTTTTAACAGGGGTTCATTATTATTTTTTTAAACTTATTTCTATATTTTTCTAAATTATCCATTCAAACTTGAACTTTAAGTCATAATTTTATTTATGTCTATTCTTATAATCATTATATTCTATTAATCAAAAAATTTTAGATCAAAATCATTATAATCAAAATTCTATATCCAAATAGAAATTATGCATCTAAAAGTAACAATTTATAAATTATATATATTTCTAAATTAATAATCAACATATTTTTTATTATATTAGTTTAGACTCTTAGTATTTGATTTTTTGTATGGCATTTTAGAATAAGATTAATTTAGAAAATTGAAAAATAGTTTAATTAAAATGAACTATTAATCGTAAAAATTAGATAGAGAAAAATGTGGTAAAGATTCAAGAATTCTTAGTATTTTAGAAAGTGGAGGTAAGATAGCGATATTTAAATAGAATCAATATTACTTTCTACATGTTTATGGAAGTTTAGCCATATTAATAAATAATAAGAAAGAATATTGTTAATAACAAACAAAAATATATACAATATAACTCCTTAAAGTACTCTTGTAAATTTTTTTTCAAAAGTTGTTTCAAGTGTTAGAGTGAAGAGGTATTGGTTTAAATAAAATATTTTAGAAAAATTGGAATTTAATATGTTAGTGGGATAACAATAAGTAAATGTGGATTCGAATTTGTAATTCATGTACCAGATGAATATGATTATAGATATTCATCATTAGATTTGTAAGAATTTAAATATAATATTAAGCCGAGAGAAAATATTATCTACACTTGCTGATGCTTATTCAAAACTATTAAAAAAGAATTTACCAATATTTTAAACAGATGATTTAACATTAATTCCATATACAACAACAAAAGTAGATGCTAAGAAAGGAATATGTAGATTGCATGGAAATCCTATTAATATAGATTTATAAACTCAACCAAATTATGATTTTTCAACAACAAAATAACCAGAAGATAATTAAAATTAAAAGTAATAAGTAAGATCAAGTTATGATTACACTAAAAAATATAAACTTTTAAAATATATATATTAAGGGATGTTAGGATAAGTAATTCTAGTTTAAAACATATAAACAGATAAATATTATGTGTTTAAGTTAATGTAAAAGTAGGATATTATAACTACAGATCATTTACATCATGCATAGATAGAAAGGAAATTATTAGAAATATTTGATCATCCTTTTATTATAAAATTAGTCTAAGCATTTGAAACTGATGATTAATTAATATATGTATTACCTTTTTATTAAGGAGGTGATCTTTATACTCATTTAAAGAGAGAAACTAGATTAAAAGAAGATAGAGTTAAATTTATAATTGCTTAATTAATTTTAGCATTAGGTTATATGCATGATCGTGAATATTTATATAGAGATTTGAAACCTGAAAATATTCTATTAGATTCTAATGGATATATAGTGTTAACAGATTTGGGATTGTGCAAATAATTATAAAATAATAATTGGTCATATAGTTTTACTGGATCTGTTGAATATATAGCTCCAGAAATGATTACAGCTGTTGGATATAATAGAATGATAGATTGGTGGATGTTAGGAATATTAGCATATGAATTAATTTATGGAATTACTCCATTTTATTGTGATAATCAAAGTTAAATGTTTGAATCTATCTAAGAAAGAGAAGTAAGATTTTCTACTAATATTACTATCTCTATTGAATGCAAGGATTTTATTACTAATCTCTTAAAGAAAGAACCTAAAGAAAGATTAGGATATAAAAAAGATTATACAGAATTATAAGCTCATTTATGGTTAAAAGATATTAATTTTACAGAAATTCTTAGAAAAACTACTCAAACTTGGAAATTAAACTTAAATGATCCATTAGATCTTAGATATTTCGAACCAGAAGATTTAAATTTAGGTATTTTTACTATTTATTATTAAGAATCTTTTAATTCTATTTAGTAAGACAAAGCACTTATTCAAAAATTTAATTAAGAATTTCAAAATATTGAATTTAATCTATGATATTTATGTAGTTCTATTTATTCTGATTTCAAAATTAAATTCAATTATTTATAATAATCTTCTAAGATTTTGATCTCAGATTAAATATGAAAAACTGTCATGTTTTCAATTTATAATATAAGAACATTCATTAAATTATTCCTTACTGTTCACTCTAGGATTTAATCTTATGATAATAACTTTTAAAATTTTTTATTTCCTATCATTTTTTCTGATCTTCCTGGACTAACTGGGCTGAACTTAATAATATTAAAATAGATACATTTCTTTTTTTAGAATTGCATTAACCATTAATGTTGCATTCCTTTAGGTTTATCTACGAATAATCAATGCTTTTTAATCATTGTTTTATTCTTATTAGAATTTAATCTAATCACTTTCTTTAGTTAAGAAACTTAGACTAGACATTCTTCTTAATTATGGTCTTTTTTCATTTACCTAAATATTTAAATTTTCATATTAGAGTTTATCAAACTTATTTCTTTCTTCTTACATAATTTTAAAATCATTATGATCTCTAGCATATTTAACTTCTTAATTTTTTACAATTGAAAATCTTTTTGAAACTTTATTGAGTATTCCTCTCATAGAAGATAACTTGTCAAATTCTTCTTTTTTACGTTTTTGTTCTCTAATATAAATGATTTGATCTAATAAAGCCTTTCTTTAAACTTAATTTTCTAGAAATTTTAAAGCTTTAGAAACTTATAAAGGATCAAAAGGATTTTTCAATTCTTAAATAGCTTAATTTAACATATCTTTGTTTCTTTTTTATTTTAGTAAATGTATTTTTTGAGAACAGTTGTATTTAGTTTCAGAAGTACTAGGAGTAAGTGATTATTTCATATAAATTTTATAATGAATTAACAAAAGCCACCTTCAACCTCTACAAAAAAGGTAGATTAATCAGTATCAACTATAACTAAAAAATCATAATCAGCATCAAGAAAAGATTCATCCTTTTAATAAGCAGCTGTTAGATAAGTTTTAGTAGGTGGATAACCAGGAGTAATATAAAATATTTATTTTTTTAAAGGATGGTTTATGGTGTTATGCTTAAGATTAGCCTTCTCCTAATTTAGCTACAATAAAAGAGATTAATACCTAAATGAATTAAAAATTTAAACAAATTGAATCTAATATAGAATCAGAAATAGTTGAAACTTTAAGATAATAATGTCATTAATTAGGAATGGAACTTGAAACTGTGAATGTTTAGAATTCAAATTTAAGAATAGATATAGCTTAATAGAATAAATATATAGATTAATAAAATAAAAAGCTTGAAACAGCAATCAAAGAAATTGAAAATTTAAGAAATGTTAAAGCATCTCTATAATCTCAATGTGATACAATTAAAGATTTATATAATAAAACTAAAAGAGAATTAGGAGGAGTAAATTAGGATTTAGAGTAAGAAAAAAAGGAAAATGAAGAAATGACTTAATAAATTTCTAAATTATAAGCATTATATTAAGAAATGTAGAAAGCAAATAAAATATAAGTTGATAATCTAAAAGAAAAACTTGAAGAAATTGAAGAAGAAAATGAGGAATTTAAAAGAAAATTTTAAATGAAGGGTGAAATAGATAAAAGATTAGATTAAGAAAGTATGGAATGATTTTTAATAGGAATTATCAATTAACATTAATAAAAATAAAACTAACTCTCAGATAATGAGAGAAAATTAGAGAAAATGGGTAAACTTTTAGAAGAAAATGCTACACTAAGTGAAAGATTAACAGAAAGTGAAACATTAAGGAGAAGATTTATGGAAAAGAATAATCAATATGAAAAAGAAATTAAAATTGTAAACTACCATTCATTATATTTTTAAAGCTTGTTGAAAGTAAGTTAGAAGTAGAAAAGTAAATGGTAGCACTTAAAAAAAGAGTTAATGATTTGTAAATAATGAAATCAACAAATTAAAAAATATTGGAAGATAAAATTAATAAATTATAAGAATAATGCACATCATAATAATAATAAATAGAAAAATTAACTTAATAATTAAAAAGAAACAAAAAATAATAAATTAATCATTAAAATGAAGAAGAGGAGACATCTGAATATGAAGATGTTGAATCTAAACCATAACTTTTTGGTGCTTGATTAAAATAAATCTTATTTTATATAAATATAATTATGTTATCATCAATAGAATACTAAAGATTTACTCAAACTCAACTATCTGAAGATCAATCAAATTTTGATACGAGTATAAATTTTGAATCTCATTAAAGCAAAATTAATTCATAGAGTATTAGAAATGTCTAAATTAGAGAAGTTTACTTGTACTATTTAAAATCTTAGATTGAATACTCAAAATTAGTTATAACTAAATTCTTTATACTCAAACAAGCATTTTAAACTTAACCATGAATATATCTAATTTCCACTTTTAAAATCTTAAATTATTTCAAGAACACTCTCAAATCATAAACTAATTATGAAATAAACAAATAAATTACATAAAAGTCATAGTTAAATCGAAGCTCTGTAATTCCCAAGTAAATTTACTAAAATTCGAAGAAAAAGTGGTTGTGAAATCCTTAGTGACAAATAAGTATCTTAAATTTCATATTTCAAGGTTAGACTTGCAACTCTTTATCCAAATACATATATAGCATTTCATTAGTTATAAAAATAAAACAAAAGAAATGAAATGAGAAAGAAAACTATATTTAAAAGAATGTCAAGTATTTTAATTAAACATTCAAATAATATTAAATCTTAAACTAGTAATAGACTATCCTAATAGATTATTTAAGATGAAATTCCTACCAAATTGGATGAATAATCATCTAAAATAATTCTAAAGTAATTCTAATAATAAATTGGATGCTTTAAAGAAATTTAAGATTTATTTTCAAATATGGAGATTCACAAAAACTACAATTATTATAAGAAAAACTAAAAAAATATTCTTAGTCTCTAAATAATTCTCCTGTTGTTAACAGAAATATCAAAAAATAATCAACAGAAAGAAATTTTGAGTAATAAAAAGTTGTATTAGATGTAAGTAAGAAAAAACGAAAAACATTTACCTCTATTCAAAATTATATTAATGGACATTCATAAATTAACTAAGCTAAATCAGTTGGTTTTATATAGAAATAAATTCATTTTCAATATCAAAATTTACAAAGCCTTACAGAAACAGAAACTTCATCGCCTATCAAAATAACCCAAACTGTTCTTAATTTTACTCATATCAAATCTCTATCAAATTTGCCTGATATAAAAGAAGCATAAACTAATAGATAAAATAATAATAGACTCTATTAGATAGCTTAAAAAGCCAAAAATGTGTATATATTTAGTCCTTTAAAAACGAAATAAGTTTTAAATAAAATAGAGTAGTGATTGTTCTTTATACTAATTAACATTTTTTGATATCTCATAATTTTATTATTACAATATTTTAAGACTTTCTATTAATATTGGTTTATGTTTATAAAATAGTTGAATAGTAAATTAATTTCTATTAAATGTTAAATCTAGAAATGAATCAGAAAAGTTCTTATATATTTGCTTAGAAAGATGAGGAATGATATTGAAATGATTTTACTAACTTTTATAATGAATGAATTTAAATTCTTATGATACAATAAACAATTGGAATTCCGATTGGAATTATTTTCTTTTAAACTTGTGTTCTATAAAATATAGTATTTTTAAATTATTGAATATGATCATAAAAATGATTTAACATAAATAACTAATAATTTAGAATAAGGATAATTGTCATATATTGTAGAGAAAGATTAGTATAGAATCAGGATTTTAAAAGGAATGAATGCAAATTTATTTTATTATTATTTTTATTAAAAAGAACAAAAAAGGCATATGGGACTGTAAGTAGTTATATTTATAACTAATTAGAGATTTAAAGATAAGACTACTTTTAAGCAATACATTTATGTCTTTGGTAGTGGTTGTTAACTTAGCAATGGTTTCTTATTTGAAAGAAAACGATGGAGGTGATTATACTTAATTTTCTTATATTACAAATATTAGCACAGCTGATCAAGATAAATATAGAACTTATTTAGACCTTGCAATTTCAGCATTTGTTTTAATGTTAACAGGATTTCTTGTAGGAATGATATAACCATTTTTGAAAATAAGTGCTCTTTCATATGTGATGGCTCTATTAATACTAGCAGGATATGTATGTTTATTTGCAGGAGTTTTCATTAATGATACATTCTAATACAATTTCACAGATTAATCTTTTAATTACAGTTTGGCATCATTTTTTGGAATTGGAGGAGTATTTGTTTAAGGAATGGTTAATTCTTGGAGATAAAGATCAGTTGATTGAATATCAATCATTTGAGCATTATATTAAATAATATATATTGATTTTAGTATAGCGTCTTTAATGAAGTAATATGACTACTTCTAGATTTGTAATTACAATTATAGCTTCATCTTTTACGTTCACATCTATTTGTTGAAAATCGTTATTCTCCTTGTTTGAATCTAAATTACAAAGCTCTTCTTTAGTTTTCTTCCTTTAAATACATAATTCATTAAACTATATTGATCTTCATTTAATACTACCAACTAATTAAACTCTAAACTTTTCTTTAAAAGAAGAAATATTGAATTAAATTGTCTTATTCCCCATTTTTCAATACTAAATAATTGATTTTTATCTCAACAATTTTGACATAAAAGAACTTATGGAAATTTGTTGATCCAATCAACAATTTCAAAATATTCTTTCAAAAAATTATTTTTTCAATCTATTTTATTATTAAGCTATCTGCTCTAATATTTTATTTAATGACACCGTTAAAGTCTTTTTATAATTANTAAATAACTAATAATTTAGAATAAGGATAATTGTCATATATTGTAGAGAAAGATTAGTATAGAATCAGGATTTTAAAAGGAATGAATGCAAATTTATTTTATTATTATTTTTATTAAAAAGAACAAAAAAGGCATATGGGACTGTAAGTAGTTATATTTATAACTAATTAGAGATTTAAAGATAAGACTACTTTTAAGCAATACATTTATGTCTTTGGTAGTGGTTGTTAACTTAGCAATGGTTTCTTATTTGAAAGAAAACGATGGAGGTGATTATACTTAATTTTCTTATATTACAAATATTAGCACAGCTGATCAAGATAAATATAGAACTTATTTAGACCTTGCAATTTCAGCATTTGTTTTAATGTTAACAGGATTTCTTGTAGGAATGATATAACCATTTTTGAAAATAAGTGCTCTTTCATATGTGATGGCTCTATTAATACTAGCAGGATATGTATGTTTATTTGCAGGAGTTTTCATTAATGATACATTCTAATACAATTTCACAGATTAATCTTTTAATTACAGTTTGGCATCATTTTTTGGAATTGGAGGAGTATTTGTTTAAGGAATGGTTAATTCTTGGAGATAAAGATCAGTTGATTGAATATCAATCATTTGAGCATTATATTAAATAATATATATTGATTTTAGTATAGCGTCTTTAATGAAGTAATATGACTACTTCTAGATTTGTAATTACAATTATAGCTTCATCTTTTACGTTCACATCTATTTGTTGAAAATCGTTATTCTCCTTGTTTGAATCTAAATTACAAAGCTCTTCTTTAGTTTTCTTCCTTTAAATACATAATTCATTAAACTATATTGATCTTCATTTAATACTACCAACTAATTAAACTCTAAACTTTTCTTTAAAAGAAGAAATATTGAATTAAATTGTCTTATTCCCCATTTTTCAATACTAAATAATTGATTTTTATCTCAACAATTTTGACATAAAAGAACTTATGGAAATTTGTTGATCCAATCAACAATTTCAAAATATTCTTTCAAAAAATTATTTTTTCAATCTATTTTATTATTAAGCTATCTGCTCTAATATTTTATTTAATGACACCGTTAAAGTCTTTTTATAATTATATCATCAAATAATTATTTTGTTTGAATTTTTAAACTTAATTTTTCCAATTTTTACTTTTTCTTTTTATTTGTATATTAATTTTTACCTTATCTTAGAAACGAATTAGAATTTAATTTCAATAATCATTTGTAAATTTATCATATTAATAACTATAATATGTAACTATTACTTTTTATAATTAGATTATCTTTGTAGTATAAAATTTGAAAGAAAACTTTTTATTATTAATTTATTTGAAGTATTCCCTTGGTACATTAATTTGACATTTAAAATATTAATAAACTTATATTTGAACAAATAAAAAATCAATATTTGTTATTTGGGATTTTCTTAAACAAATTCAAGTGTTTGTTTGCCAAAATGAATGTTCTTAAATCTTCAATATGTCTCTCAATCCAATTTATATTCAATTTGAAATGATTCACACAAAACAACACAGCTTAACACATTAAATAATATTGAAATAATTACTACTCTACTTTCAACATTTTCTTCTATCAAAGTTAATAAAATACAAGCCAAGGCCTTATTGCATTTTGAGATTTATCTAAATTCTTAACCTATTTCCATGTAAAACAAATTCTCAATAATTTTTTATATTAATAAATCCATCTTCTCTTTATCATAGATTTATTCAATTAAATCTTTTAAGTCCATTAATATTCTATGCACTAATTACAATGATGTTGTGAAACATAAATTGTAATTTAAACTCTAGCATATTTTTCTCTCTTGTTATAAGATATCACTATTATAATATTTCTATTGCAACACCTTTATTATTAATTTTTATTACTTCATAACTCAAATCATCAATGTATATAGGATATAAATCTACAAATTTTGAAGATATATATATGCTACAACCTGATATCAATTCCAATTCTTTATATGTCAAATGACTAGTGTTTTATAAGTACTAGTAAACTAATTCAATTGCTTTGAATATTGACTCATTTGAAACTTTTTTAAACTTTTTCATCTTATATACCATCCAATCCAATACTCTTTCTAATTACTCATCACTGAAATCATGCTTATCAATATTTAATTTATTAGACTAATCTTATATCTCATCATACTTTTTATTCTATTACTAATTCATATTATTAAATTTCACATCGGAATTTATCAAAATAACATAAGATATCTTTCTCGATCTCATTCCCAGACCTTACTTAAAAATTCATAAATTGAAATTGAAATTCAGCATTCTCTATCTATTTTAACATTCTCTCTATTTAAACAGGGATTATTGCGTTTCTTCTTCTACTGTTCTATGATTTGGTTTCTTCCTTTTAATTCTTAGAACACTTATCCAATTTATTTTAAAATGTAAAGTTCATATTTGAAACATCTTAAAAAACTGATCGAACTCTATTTCTAGAACTCAAGAGAATTTCTTAGCTTTATTCCATTTTGTTGTGTTTAGTATAAAATAATTTTTAGTTCATATATTATTTATTAATAAATAATTAACGTATTTTTTCAATACCTAAATAGCGAATCTAATATCATATAAAAATTAAAGACGATTTAGTTCGCAAAGCAAAATTAATTATAGAAGCAGAATAAAAAGAAATATCAAATTTTAAATTCTTAATAATAATGTTAAAGCAATTAATTATCATTATGCAAGCTAAAGAAATCAAATAATAATATCAACTCCTAACTATTAATTTCAAATTATAAATAAGTAATTAATAACTCTAAGAATATGAAAAAATGATTGAATACTATTTAAAATCATTTGAAAGATCAATAAAGAATTATTACCATGATATAGCTAGCTCTATTAGAATTTGAGTGAGATTTTAGGAATAAATAATTCTAAGTAACAATCATAATTTTAAATAAGGTAATATTATAAATGTCATTATAGAATAAGAATTATTCATAAATTAAAGAAAAACTTCAAATAACTATATATA